GATAGGGTCCTTGACTTGATAATCGGCAACGAAGTAACATACACGAGTGCAGACTCTATTGTCACAGAGGACAACGATGTTGTTGCGAACTATCCGCTAGAGTTTCTCAACAAGCAGCAGCCTTCAGGAATGCCACCGCACAAGTTAGTTCTAAAAAGAGGTGCGTTGATAATGCTGTTGCGCAACCTTAATCCAGCCAATGGCCTGCTCAATGGCACACGCCTGGTGGTTGATGAACTTCACACAAACTTCATCATAGCTACTATTGTAACCGGATCCAGGAGAGGTAGTAGGGCAGTCATACCAAGGATCGACATGGCACCGAGCGAGACACAGCTGCCGTTCATACTCAAGAGAAGACAGTTTCCGGTTCTTCTTTCGTTTGCGATGACAATCCACAAGTCACAGGGCCAGTCATTTGGCAAGGTAGGTGTTTATCTACACAGCCCAGTCTTTGTGCATGGTCAGTTGTACGCATTGTCGAGAGTGGCTATGCAAACGGTCTAAGGGTGTATGTTGCTGACAATGGAGACCAAGGAAAGCATGAGAATGGTAAAGTATACACAAGAAATGTTGTGTACAATGAGCTACTAGAATGAAAGTGATTTATTGATTTTGTAACTATACAACAGTTAGTAGAAAGGAATGACTTGATATTTTAGTTACATTCAAAAGCGCTATTTTGGTATACTATCCATTCATGCATCCGTTTTTGAAAAACGGGATAGCGCAGCTAGTCTTTCTATAAAAAGACAAAGATCTGCATTTAAGATTGAGAGGGTATTGATAAGTGATGAATACACTATGAAACAAAGCAAGAGCTAAGGAAAAGACATTTTTTTACAGTATCATAACACTTTATGGTATAGCCGTGTTATATAACCATTTATGGTAATTAACTTATTATATATCACTTACCTTAATATTTTATATCACCACTCCGCTACTCATTCAACTAAAATATACTATTCCATACTCTACCAGCATACTACATCGTTCAGTACAAATCAATTCTTACCAATCATTCCTTTCCCAAACAGTATAATTCAATATTCAATTTAATAAAGATAAGTGTTGTAATGATCGATTCAACCCACTACATATGCTCTCACCATTTTACTCTATCATTATTTTATACCTACTCCATAAACGTTCCAATTTTTGCATGTAGAATTTTTACTCTCTTCTTCACAACTATTCTCTATTTTTTCTAATTTTTGTTTATTTCATTCCATTTCCGTGCCCTTTCTGCTCTACCGTATCATTTAGAAAATTTTTGTCCGTTTTTAAGCGAAGGTTATGATTTATGTTCCTTATCTGGTCTATTATGGTCGGTACTCGTATTTCTATAGTGGTTTATATTACAATTTAACTCTTTCTGGTGTTTTACCACTTCAATGATGTTTATTCACTTCATTTTAGTGCCATACTACTTCATTGATGTTCTACCGCTCCATCCCTACTCTATCCTTCTCATTTTCTTTATTTTGCCGAAAAACCGCTCAACCCCATCAATGAACGAGCCACAACCAAAACTTTTATCCCATACCAACTCAAAGCAGCCCGTCCACAAGTACCTGTACTTTCCTGTACGTTCCGAGCTGCTAACCCATTTTGATCGTCTGCTCAAGCGCCATCTTTACGCGCTCATAATAACAGATGACCCGGAAAGCATCCACACGCTGAACATAAGCACCACATGCACAGTGTGCCCGAGCAGCAAGCGATGCATGTACGAGTCGGGCAAGTACGACCTGTTCATCTACTATGATGTGTACGACCCGTCAATCGTAATCAACGATTCGTATGCGAACGCGTTTTACCTCACGTGCTCGCCCTTTGAGATTGTAAGAGTGTATGACATGCTTGGTGTGCATGAGCGCGGCGGAATCTTCGTGAACAACAACACGTTCTACCTCAGTTACTTCAACAACAACAAATTGCTGCTGTACGAATCGGGCAGCAGCACGCCCATGAGCACCGTGCTTGGGCAGGTGAAGGACAATGCGGACGTGCACTCGGTCGTGCATGAGTATGTCAGGTACGATGTGTATGACACGCAGATGGTGCTTGCTGAGCTGATGGACAGGGGCCGTGCTCTCGATATAAATCTGGACGAGCGAAGTATCGGGTCAATACGAGCACATGCACACACCTCAAACAAGCTGAAGGCGCTTGAACTCATGTTTAAGCGGTTTTCGTGCGTTTTGGTTGAAAACGCGTTTGTGAAGAGCGCAGCCCTGAAGTACCTGAGTATGCATGGTGTGCAGTGCATAGACGGCGATGTGCATCACGTGGATGCAAGCATGAAGCGCATTTCGCTACGCGTACCGCATGCTGCGAAGTACTGCGTGCTTGGCGTACAGCCCGTGCTCACTAGCACGTTGGTGCTCATACCGTCCGCCATGCAGAATCACCTACGCGCATTGCTTACAGCCGAGGCGAAGATTCGCACGCTAAGTGTTCAACAGCCCAAATGCACCCCATCAAACGTGTCCACAATGCATAAATATGCATCAATGCGCATAGATAACGCGATGAAAGTATTTTTTAACGGCAAGAGCAACGCATTACCAGCAGCAGAGCATACGAGCACGCTGTGCGTGATTATGCCCGCAAATAAGAAAGATGAGCTTACACGCATGAACATGCGGTACAATGTGATGAACGAGAGCGTGGTGTTTAAGGTGGATTCATGCATGGGTGCGTTTAAGGTGTGTGCAGCAGCACACACATGTGCAGATGTGGTAGTGCCGCGTAAGAAGAACGGCTTTCTTAAGGTGAGCCGTATGGGGGTAGGACACTTTGTTGACAGGCAGGTGTTTGCGGATAGTTTTGTGATACGGGGAGAGGGCAGTCTAAATTTTTACGACACATCGCTCGTGCTTGAGTACCTGGTTGATGCACCAGATAAGTCTGATGATCGAGGCAGGTTAGATAGTACGACCGGCAGCAGGGATAGTAGAAATTACCGCGGCAGAATTGACGGCAGCGATACCCCCTCCAATCCCAGGAACCTAAATCCTAAAAATTGTTCCAACCACAACGGATCACGTGCATGCCCTGATTACTTCAAACGTGCGTTCAAGATGAACACTCTGCACAACAAAGTCCTTAAATTCAACATAAAATACAAAAAAGTAGAGCAGGTCATCCTTTCCCTCACAAAGGAAGGATCGAACCAGTACATCAACATATGGCTGGTACTGCGCGGCAATCCCACGATATGTGTAGATGAGAGCACGGCAACTCTGCTCGATGTTCCCTTTGTAGAGCATCGCTACGATCTGTGGGTAAGGAACCACCTGCAGAATGTTTGTTTTCTTGAGAACGTGTTGGAGATGGTAGGATGCGTGAGCATGCGTGTGCGTATAGGACAGGTTGTGTTTGAGAGGGGGTGTGCAGTTGAGGAGGTGCTTAGTCGGTTGAGCGATGAGGACAAGTACTACGTACGGTGTTTGTACGGATCTAAGGGACGTATCGTAGCTAATCGTTTGTACTATGATGAGAATGGGAGCAGTGATGACACTCTTAACAGCAACACCGGTAACATTGCTAATTCCGTTGATAGCGTGGTGAACAACAATGCATGGATAAAAAACAGCTATAAAATAAATTTGTGGCGCATAAAATGCATAAGAGAGTTCTGCATGGCACAGGAGGTGCTCACGGCTCGCTACAGCGCATTCAACACGTACACAGCAAGCACGGACCATTTCACCAACCCTGATACACAGCCAATACGTACCGTGCACGTGCATCCCCTAGCAATCGTGTGCATGTACCCCAAGAACAACCTGTCCAATCGCATACTAAGGAACTTCTCGAACATGATACGTATTACGTTCAAAGACACGAAAGATGAAAGTACGATGGAATACATCAGAGAGATAATGAGCAATGGTATAACGATTGATAGGCCGTACTACTTCGTAGCTACGTCTTCTTCGCAGTTGCGTGCTAACTCTGCATGGTTTATTTCACCGTATAGAAAGAACAACGTGCTTATTGGCAGTGATTACGTGAGGAATTGGATGGGTGTTATAAATTGTGACAACATTGGGAAGTACATGATACGGGTAGGACTAGGATTGAGCAGCACCTTTAATATGTTTGAGATTGTTGATTACGTGGAGGAGGATGATATTGTTAGTTATGGTAATAGCGGTAGTGTTAGTTATGGTAATAGCGGTAGTGTTAGTACTAGTAATAGCGGTAGTGTTAGTACTAGTAGTAATAAAAATAATAATAGCAGTACTAGCAATAGCAGTACCATCAATACGACCAACGCTATCACTAACAATGTGAATGATGAGTACGTGTGGACAGATGGAATCGGTAGAATAAGTAACAGGGTGGCAGACATGGTGGCTAAGAAACTTAAACTTACTTCCACCCCGACAGCATTTCAAATACGGTTTGCAGGCTATAAAGGGGTGCTGGTACGTGCAAACATACCGCACGATCTGATGCTGCGCAAGAGCATGCGCAAGTTCAAAAGCACATACAACGTCTTAGAAGTGGTGAGCTACTCTCAATCAATAGAATGCTATCTCAACAGACAGATAATAATGATACTGGAGGGACTGGGCGTACCTAAACACAATTTTATCTGCCTACAGAACGAGTACTTAATGCATATGTACAGAGCAATAAATCACTCACTTATCGGCAAGTATTGCAGGATTAGTGGTGTAGCACTGGTTGATAGGATGAGCGGTGCTTTGCTTGGCAGATTGTTTAGGGAGATGTGTGCTAAGGGACGTATTTTTGTTAAGAATGGGATTGTTCTGATGGGTGTTATTGACGAGGAGGGGGTATTGGGAGAGAATGAGGTGTTTTTGAGGATATATGAGGATGATGGGGATGTTAGTGGTGGCAGGAGTAAGAGGATGAGGAGTAATGAGATAGGTGCTGAAGAGATGAGGAAGAAGGAACTGTTTGAGAGAGCATTAAGCGTTGTGGACCGTAGTGGTGTTGGTACGGCTGATAGCAGTGCTGATGATATAAATACCAGTACCGGTGGTGGTGTGCTTAGGGATGACGGTGTGGTAGTGGGTGGTGCAATAGTGGCAAAGAACCCGTGCTTACACCCCGGCGACATAAGAAAAGTACAGTGCGTGTACAAGAAAGAACTGATGCACTACAAGAACGTACTGGTATTCAGCAAAAAGGGACGAAGACCGGTATTTAACATGTGCTCGGGCAGTGATCTAGATGGTGATCTATACTTCGTAAGCTGGGATGCTCGTCTAATACCACCGATAGAGCATTTTCCACAGAACTATCAGTCATCATCATACCTGAGCAAGGAACACATAGTAGCACAGGACATGGTAAATTTCTTCACAAGATTCGCCAAAGAAGACGAGCTCGGTAAGATCAGCAATGCACATCTCGTATACTCCGATGTACACGGTATCACCGATCCACAAGCGCTTAAACTGGCGTACCTATTTTCAATGGGTGTAGACTTTCCTAAGACAGGGTACATTGCACGGTTACCGCAGAATCTTGAGCCGTATGAGTATCCCGATTTTATGGAGAGGATGCGGTCTTATGAGAGTGTGCGTGTTATGGGGATGATGTATAGGAGGGTGCAGTTTAACTGCGAGGATGTTGGGGGTGTTTATGGGGAATGTGTGGTTGGAGATATGATGAAGAAGATGGTGGAAAGGTGTATGAAACGGTGTATCGATAGGAACAGCAGGGATGCTATGGATAGTAATAGTGGAAGTAGGGGCAGTGGAAATGGTTGTAGTGATAGCAATAACAGTAACACCAATACCAGCAATAACAGTACCAGTAACACCAATACCAGTAACACAAAAAGTGATGGCTCCTCCAATCTGGTAACTATTCTCAAGCTCATTCTCAAGGGTGCGAGGGAATCATTCAAAATACGCATACCAAAACTGAACAGTGCTCTCATCCAACAAGCAACCAAAGATTACCAAGAATACAGAAACGATGTACACAAATTAATGGTGGAGTACGATCTTAAGAGTGAGTACGATATTTTTTTAAAGAAGGTGGAAACAGATACAGACTCAGCATCGTACAGCCAGCGTATCACCAAATTTATCAATCATTACAGCAGACGGTTCTTCATGAACAGCTACACGGTGAACGGTGAGAGTGTGAGTGTTAAGGAAAAAGCATTGTCTTGGTTTGCTGTAAGCTATGGAAAGGGTGTTGGTGAAAGCTTTTATTATGTGTGTGGATGTGACGAGGATATGGTCGAGTATTGTTTTGGTGGAGGTGCTGTGAAGGGGTACAAGTGCTATTTCAATCCTTATGTGCTGGTACGCGACATGGACTGTCATAAGAGTGAAGATATGAGCGGTAGTAGTAAAAACACGAATAGTAGCTGCCATGGCAATATCTGCACTGCCATTAACACGGCAAGAAATATCGATTTGAAGAGCGTGCTCAACATTGCCAGCACTACCGGTACTAGCGCACAGCCAAAGGGCAACAAACTGCCCACAAGCACAGTACGTGTCAGTTCAGGTGGTACAGGTCCTTTAATACGGGTGATAAACGGTCAGCAATACGTGGTGATAGATGAGTGCTGTGCTGTAAGTAACGATAGGGTGTTATTTGAATTGTTTAACATGTTGGTGTGTACGGGGTTCTTTGATCTTAGCAATTTTAGGTTTGTGGATGAGTTCATGACGGTAGTGAAGGATTTAACAAGGGATGAGATGTGCGAGTTGTTCATTGTTGTAAATAGTGTGGAGTATTTGCGTATTACCGCTGAGGAGTGCGGTAAGGAGTGTAGTGAAAAATGCAATGGTAGAGATGTTGGTAATGACGAAGGTACGAAGAGAAGAATAAAATTGTTTGATGGTGAGCGTGCAAACAAGGAAAACACCGTCAACAGCAATCAAACACACGCATTGCTGAAGGGGCACTCTCCGGCATTCAGAAGGGCATTAGATCGCTTATCAACTCTTCTACGAAAGACCGTTCATCTTGATGCTCTAAACAGTTTGCTTACTGTTGCATTCGTCTTACCGCTCAGAATGGAGCTGCTAGACAAAATCAAACTGTGCATTCTACCACGAAGAAAAGGAAAGGCAATTCTGCACTCAGACAGGTCACGATCAGATGATATACCGATCAACAGCATGTCAATAATAGGAGCATTTGATAAGAACGATTACATCTGCTTTAACACGTACGGTGGCGATGTTAACATACTGCACCAGAACAAGAAATGTTATGCTGTTAATCTTTTGAACGGGGGGATGACGAGTTATGAGTATTACAAGGAGGATTTCAGGAAGGTATTCGTACATTTCTACTGGAAGGGGGGGTGTAAGGTTAGGATAAGGAACGAGATTAAGAAGGATGATTTCGGGACTAAGCAGAATATGAGGGAACGATTTGCTAATAACAGGAGGAATGATGACCGAGAAAGTGTTAGAAATAATACGAGGAAGGATGTTTATCATAAGGGTGGTGACTGCGGTGATAACACCAATATTAAGAATGTTGGCAATGGCAATACCTGCATTGGGGTGAACAATGTAGATAGAGATGATAAAACAGATGGACACGTACCATTGGACCATAGGATAAGTACAGGGGATGGAATGCCCAGTAATCCGCGCATGCGTTACATGGTTAAAGTGATGCCGGGTAGGTTCTACACGTTCTCACTGCCAAATGATGTGGCATACAACAGCATGAGAATTAAGGACCTGGAAAAACTGCTGATGTACTACCGCAAGAAGAACAACACGATTAGCTCGCGGTATATCAATGCATATTTCATTAATTTGCATCCTATTCTTAAGAACTTGGACGATTACATGGCGGGTCGATCGTTCAGCTCAAAAAAATTGTGTTTTAACCTGTACTTCGTGAAGGACAACACGCGTTACTGTGCTAGACTGGATGAATCGATGCGTATACAGCGTGTGGGTGTACGGCGAGGCATCGTGGGAAGGTACTTCATGCTGAACAGCGGTGCGCACAAAACGTGTGATTATGATGTGATGTACGAGATGTACGCTGAGGAAGTGGTGTACATGAATGGTGAAGCGTGTAACGATCCGTTCCTATCCGTTTTACTCCCACAGAATGTGCTTGTACCTGTCAGCAACGCGTACAAGGTGTGTGATGCGCTGTCAGCATGCACAAACTTTCTATTGGAAAGTTTCGTTACCCTTGATCTAACAGAGAATGGCACAAATCTCTTTGTGCTGAATTATAAGGAGGTGTATTTTATGGACAGTACAGATGATGTGTTAAAGTTGCACAGGTATGAGGTGAATTGTTTTAAGGATGTTGAACGTATGGAGGGTGAGATTGCGTGTTATGAGGGGTTTGAGCGGTTTCTTGAGGATGTGTGGAGGAGTTATGAATGTTTTTGAGCGTGAGTGGGGGGTGTGATGTATGGTGAAGTATGAGGTACTGGTAGGGAATAGTAGGGAGTGATAGGGAATAGTAGGGAGTGATAGGGAATAGTAGGGAGTGATAGGGAATAGTAGGGAATAGTAGGGAATAGTAGGGAATAGTAGGGAATAGTAGGGAATAGTAGGGAATAATAAGGAATGGTAAGGAATAGTAGGGAGTGATAGGGAATAGTACGGAATAGTAGGGAATGGTAAGGAATGGTAAGGAATGGTAAGGAATAGTAGGGAATAGTACGAATATTTAACACGCTATTAGTAATGAGACTGCAACCAAATGGTGAGTACATTATTTGCAAAGACTCCCACGCGATCAGCTACAGCGATGCGCACACGAACAATAAACCATGATCATGTGAATGTTGATGTATTTTAAGAATGCACGTGTTATTAAATTATTATAACGTAGGGTTGGTGCAAAGCACGATTTGCAACGCATTCAAATCATGGAGCGGACGAGTAACAGCTCGGTAACCGGTGCTCTTCTTTTCTCAATTATGCATTTGAACGCGTGGTTGTAACACGGTAAATGACCAATTCTACGATTTACATTTTTTATTTCAAAGCGCATTTATGTTTTAATACGGGCAGCATTACGTTGAAAGATCGGCACGAATGCAATACGTGGTGGTAAATAAACATAATTAGAAAAAAATGTGCATGGTGTTCATTCTGTGCGAATTGATCAGAAACACTGGATGAGTGTGGGGTAAATGCTTGGAATGGTGTTGTAAGTGGTGATTGTTTGATGGGAAACGTGTAAAAGAAATTGCTACCAACTAACGATGTCGTTTGAAGAGAATGGATGCAGTGCAGTGAAAAAGCGTAAAAGCACGTATCTGACACCGATGCTAAATGAAGCGTTGCTCAGCCATTGCGTGGCCTCTTAAAGGCAAAGAATAAAGATTATTTGCTGCTGGATAATTTTATTAGCTTGCCTGGCACACCGCCATACAACCCGTAAATGGTTCCGGTGCCTGAGTCTGCAACAGTCTTTCATTACCACCACAGCGTATGTTTTCTTACCTAAATACCTTTCCTAGGTCTCAAAATTTTGAGTAAACCGTTGGTAAATCCCCTTTGCCAGAGGGGGCCTACTGCACCAGCTGTAACACGGGTAACCAACTTGATATGCGATAATCACAAAATGATTAAAGCGAGACGAGCGGAATGGACAAACATTAACAAGCATGCAAGAATCCACCTGCAACACGCCATCAAATCGATATAAAGATGCGTGCAGCAAACAGATCAACTGTGTAAAAGATGGAGAGACCGTGGAATACCGGAACAGCACGATGTAATGTATGCCACAGATAATAAGAAAGATATTTCTTGGTTACACCGCGTGGATGAGCCATGCACTATAGTGCTGCGTGTGTCATGAACAGCATATCACGATTTTAAGAGAATTTTTACCTGATTGGTGTATTTCCACTATGAGTGTGCTGTAGCATAGCGAATTCGGCTGTGGCGCGTTACCTTAAATGCTCTTGGTTGCTCCCGGAACATATCACCCGTTACGGCAATTCACAAACACAATGCTTTTGGTGTGCGAACACAGTGGTGTATCACCTAGCATATTGAGATCGGTGGCACGGTAGCGCTCACAAACGCAATCATTGATGGCAACAATAAAAATATGTGTCTACAGAACACCGCTTCACAGCACCGTATCTCGTCCTTCAAAACAACAAATTACGTGCCAATTAAAACACCTTGAGCAACGAAGTGTCTTAGGCTGTGTTGTAGACACACCAACACTTCAAACATATCGCTCACCGTTTCTAATCCTCGTACAACAGCGTAGATGAGCTACACCTTGTAATACCAACTATTCAGGTGGTTGAATACATAAACGAAGCGGTCGATATGTACATGCGAATTGTGCACACATATGATTTGTTCTGCACTGAGAGCGAGCATCGTGGCGTGCAAACCATGCACGAGTACCAATTTATTGTAAAACTGAATACGATTGTTTTTGCACATGGAACAATCTTTGAGAAGAGGGAGTTTTTAATTATTGGTGTAGACGTAACACTGAGTAGGAACTGCACAGCGCCATCATTTGGTGTGCTGTTGTTTATCTGCTGATTTGATACGTAAATGGTAACTGCTTTTTTTGGGGGGGTATTATCCGATAAGAGAAGCAAAGCAAAAGAAAGAGTGAGAAATGAAAATTTGAACCAAAGGATTCGAATTAGGCATGCGCTGTTTCCTAGATGTTGGGCATCTAGCGACAGATTCATCGGATCGAAAAAATTTGCGTGTTGCTGATCGGTGCACGGAGAAAAAATACGGTAAATGCGTATGAAGCGGAGTACTGCTGCTGATAAGAATGATCATATCCACCAAAGCGATGAATGTTACGATCGATATATGCTCTGACAGAAGCACAATTCAGTAACTAAATGCGTTTTTCGTAGAACAAGATTTTTAGAGCATTGCTCACGGTAGATCGTGCCGGCATTGGGCCATGCTACACATGAACTGACGTAGAAACCTTCTCACACACAGAATGCTATCGTATCCCGATAAAGTAATTGCCGATTTTCGTATGTCTACCAAAAAATTGTATGCGGCGTACTCCTTGCTAAAGTTTGAGAACACAATGCATCATTCAAAATCAGGTTGGACAGCACATACACGAAGGATGTGCATCGACATATCGATGAGCTGCGTGGTGTCGCTCGCGATCACCAATGGTAACCATTCCTAACTTGGTAAGATCTCGAAAAAAGCATTCCCATTTGATATAACAGCCATAAACAGCAAGTCCAAAACTATAAAAGCGAACGAACGTGCGCATTTCATGATTAAGTTAAATCAGAATGGCAATCTTACAGCAATAGCATTACTACAGCTTCTTTCGCTGATCGTATTCCCCGGATACGCTCATGCGACATATGACCCGCGAACATTGTATCACAGCAATGCACCGTACGGTACAATGCAACAAAATGACTATGGGCAAAGATTTCCACAGCAAACTTTTGTTCAAAATCCGTCGTACCAATCGCTGTACGAGTATTATTTGGGAGATGAGCAGAGGCCTGAAGAACAAAATCGAACATTCTACCCAGGTCAGGTCCCTGGCATGGCTTTCGGCCAACCACCACAGAGACGGATCTATACAACGTCTGTGCCATCACCGCAGTTTGATGATGAGACAGAGAAAGAGCTTTCCGTTCTCAGGCACCAGCAGCTCAAAATGATCGCTTTAATTGAACAAGGATATTTGAATCTTGATCGCAACGAGTACTTATTCGTGCAAATACAAAAGATACGTCAGATCAGCATGTTCAACGCCGTCTATCCTTTACAAGTATATCTTCAAAAGATGTTTAGAATGTACGATATCATGGAGTCAAGAAGTAAGCAAGGTGTTTACATTCGGCAAATGACACTAATTCAAGATCTTGAAACGAAAGTCATTGAGTTGCTTAATGAAATCGTAAGACAATATGTAGTTTTGGGTTTTGATCAGCCTAAGTACAATGAATTACGTGGCATGATCACAAACGCTAAACTTGGTTCAACGATACTCTGTGACAGTTTGAAGAATGTAGAAATCGTGAACAAAATGCTTAAATCGTTTAATGATGTCAATATTGCGGCAGACAAATCGACGCTGGAGGCACTCCGGACAAATGCATCATGTAACGAGAAGCTTACGGCAGCAATGAAATATACAAAACAGAAGAATGAGGAAGAAGTTGCTAACTTGAGGGACGAAATTGATAGTGATGCATTCATGAGAGCAGTCAAGCGAGCATCAGACAGTATTGGCCCGAACAGGGGCACTAAAGTGATGCACACTATGGCTTCGTTGGTCAAAAACATAGGTGAATTCGTCAATTATACTAATAACACTGGAGTTAGACTAGTAAATCTTAATAAAGACATTGAGCACATGCAGCAGACAGCTGCTGGTGCAGTTCAAGCTGGTGCAACGGCGACTTCTCAGTCGAACAGAAGTGTGCGACCACAAGTGGCGCCTACGCAGACTCAATCTAAGATTGTGCACTCTAAACCAATTGGAGCAATGAAAGCCATGGTCGGTGCATATAATAACATGTTCATCAGTGACTCGCCAACCGCATCAACTAAACAAGGATCATCAGCGCCGGTAAAGCCCAGAGTACAGAGAGCAGAAGACGATTTTGAACAAATGTTCGCCGATACTACGAACTGGAAAGACTTACTTCCAAAGTATGACGAGCAATCGGGTGTGCTAGAACCAGAGTTCCAGCCAAGGCCAGTTCAACAGACATACCCTACGGCCGAAGAAGAGTTCAGAGCTACGTACGCACCTTACAATGATCGCCTCGAACAGTTACGAGAAGAAGTTAACGGACAAAGGAGGGCTAATAACTTAACGACTGACTCATATAATGAACAGCGATACGACAGGAGATATTAAATTCTTAATCTGAAAACTTTCTTTGTTTACTTAGTTCATGTTATTGACATATGTGGTTTCGTAATGTATTCATTAGAAAAAAGTATTTTTAAATTGCGTATGATGTGATACACTGAATCTGCTCAACAGGCAACACGACTGAAATGTTAATAGATACACATTCTAACCCGCCATTCACGCCTGGTTGTCGCATATCATTATTTTTGTGACGATGTACATGCGAAAATACTATGCATGATGGCACACTAGTTTCCTCTATGAACCAGAGGCTATGATAGGCTTTTTTATGACCAGAAAAGATAGTTCATAGTTTTATAATCGATACTCAAGTGAAATAATGATACTATGATTGTTGTACTGGTGGTTAGCGAAAGTTTTCGTCAGTAGCTTTTAAAGTAAATTTTCTTTGTTTCATAAAACTTTTATTAGTTGAACAATTTATTCGAATAAATCAGCTAATTTGCTTACACATTTTCTCTTCTTCAATATTTGTGATAATTAACCGTGTTTAAAATTAATAATGAGAAAACAGTCCTACAATCCGTTTCATTCAATCACCATTCCATTACAAACACGATGGCATAGATTAACCTTCATCTGATAAAAGAGTCAGAGTATCAACTGCAAATATTCTATTGTAATCAATTACTGTGTTATATTTGTTTGTTGTGCAATCAAATAGAGCCAATCATAGCTTATATTGCTTCTACAATTCGGCACAGCACAAAAACTTGTTATTCGCCCATTTGATTAATTGAGAATATTGGGTTACCATTAAAATTAATGAGCAATAAGTGAATTTAGTTTAATTCAATTTAATATTACAATTAATTAATTCTTTTCTTAATAAGACTAATGTTCAAAGCATAAAAGGACGAGACAGATTCCAATCCATGTTGTTTAATTTGTACGGCTATGTTGAGGCAAGTCTCAAATACATCCTGGTCTTCAAAAATGAACATGATGCATCGGGTCAAAATTTTTTGATCGTTGAAAACCCGGCAGATATAGGAATGTCTGGCCTGCCGAATGCATATGAAAAAAAGAAAATGGTGCAACCATTACCGCATGAGATCAGACGCACACGTTTCCCTGAGAGAAATATGGTCAATAAACGCTTTGACTACGATGATAGTACCTATCATAGTCACATTGCTGGTATCAAGAGGATTAGCTATGGGACATACCGTGATGTGATTGAAAAGAACCCAGACATCGATTTTAAAGTTATTAATGTACCAATATCCATTTTATCGTATCAAAAAATCATGAAATTGTCACAAAGAGATAAATATAATGGAGATGTTCCTATCTTTGATACAGATGAAATTTGTGCACTCGTGAAGAGTTTATCATTCTTTGATGAATACGGGAGAGGAGCAATTGCGTGTGCAGCGTGCATGCATTTGTTGAATAATCCCGAGCTGCTCCAGGAAATGAAAAACTACAATCACGATCCTAATAACGGCCAGTATAACGAGTCAACTATGCTTCTCTCCAAATATATATTCGGATCAAGCGACATTGCGACACAACTTAGAAAATCGATCAAGTCATATGTTATACTTGCCTTGGAGGATAAAGATAAAAATTGGGCAGAAATATATGGAAAATCGAAAGTTCGGTGTTACCATTATCGAACCATTGATTCACACAAGTTTACATTAGCGTTCTTGTTCGATACGTTATACACGGGATACAAATGGTTGCTGAATAACAAGGAAATTTTAGATAGTGAATTTAATGTTAGTAGTAGTGATTCGCCATATACTGTAAGTATATACGGCTTGAAATCACATGGAGATTTCGAAAATGACACACTTAAGCGTACTCTAGAGGCAGTTACAACCAGCAAATTTCTCACAGGAACAAATGTGGATAGCTTAACTTTGGAATTTAACAGTATCCACACTAATGTTGATCTTTCATGTCTTAATAACATAAAAGCTCCAGTAACTGTAGTATGCATTCGTTGTTCACTCACTTTTATACAATCAATACCAGAACGCCTTAAAGTTGCAGTGTTGATCACAGAAAATATACCGGATGATGCATTTAATAACATTTTTTAAAATGTTGTGAAATTTGGATTTCAATCATTGGAGATCCGTGAAAATGTAGTGTTTCCTGATCGTATAGAACACATTAGAATCATTAACTGTAGTGCTAATCAAGGCGTAAAACTGATGATTAACGAAAAATGTGAGCATGTTAAAATATATAATACCGCAGTTAAGATTGTATTGCCATGTGTTATGGAGTGTGATCTGAGGCCAAGTATAATGCCGAGAAACTCATGCTTTGAATACAAAGTGAAAAAAGAACAAAAATCACTGATGTTAATAACAGCTGACATTAATAGTACAGTAACAATCGATGCAACCATAGATACTGTAGTATTTGTTGATGTAAACGTGTCTGCAGGATCATGTGTTATATTTAATGGTGATAACAAGAATTTGGGAATATTACAGTCAACTGGCATGTTTAATCTGAAACCGTTTATTGCGATTGAACAGTGTTTTAATAAGGGAATGCGAATGGAAGTAGCGCTTATAATCCATTCAATACATAATCTATCAAAAATAACGTTAAGTTGTTTTCGGTTTGCAGAAAGAGTAGAACTACCGAATAAATACGAAGAAATTGAATTAGACCATGTACTTACGGATGAGAACGTAGAGATAGTCCTAAACAAAGCTTGCAGAAAACTGGTAATTCGTAAGTGTAGAGTTGTGATCAATGCACAAAATGTTGATGAGCTTGATAGCTTATGCATACAATTTTCTGCAACTGAGAAAGGCAACATTGTGTTTGTTGGCCTGAAACGAGTCAATCACATTTCTCTTATTGATATCTTTCACAGCATGGATGTGATCACAACCATTCTGGCTGGTCTTGAAGGAGTAAAGCACCTGGAATTCAAAAGTAAATATTCGAAGGATATGTGTGGATTACCTAATGAACACCACAAAGAATCGTTGATGAACATCGTATCGACCGAGAATTACAAAAATGATCCGAATTTTGAACTTAGATATTCAGCAATCAAGGACAAAGAACCGGTCGTATTCCTCCTTGGGATGTTGAATATCATGGTTAATCTTATTCTCAAAGCAGTGTTGAGCGAAAAAGTGATGAATACTGTTTCGAAGCTAAAGTTCACGTCTGTTGCTATCGATGCTGATAATTGTAAATCACTTGGAAAGTTGTCAAATCTCAAAATTCTTCGAATATGCCCCAAAACCATCACCAACGAATTTCTTCATAACCTGCCGATGAATCTCAAGCTACTGAATATTACTGACCTGGATACGATGGATAGAAATCTGATGCCTGAACACGTAATCAATCCGTTGATTGTTGCTCGACCGAATATAAGTCTGAAAGTTTTGGTGATTGATGCACAGTTAATATATGATTTTAACAGCATTTTATTATCGATACCATCTCTCGAAGTACTCAAAATACGGTATTCAGAACCGATCAAGATCAATTCGCAAGCACAGAGAGATAAGATACGATTACAGGAACTATTCATTGAGTGCAGTGATGATCAAATTAACGAATATAAAACATCGAGGACTACATCCGAAATCCATTGTTTTATACAAAGCCTTGCACTTTACATTAATTTTACATCGCTTGAACGTCTTGCGCTTGTTTCGATCAGTCAATCGGTGATCATCAACGCTGCGACTCTTATGGTTATCAAATAAAACTTTTGGTGCTTATTGGATTTTATTTATATCATTTGACTGTGTCACTACCGTTTAATCAAGTTTAATATTCCTATTCTTTGCAATATTGTAGCTGTTTGTCTTGTAGGAATTTAGATCTTATATTCTAACAATGTATGGCTTCATGCTGTCATCTAATAAGTGGCACTGACAGTTGCATATGTTTATACTGCCTACACCGTATACACGTACTTGAGTACTTTTTAATTAGGATTACGAGAGAATCGTACAATCACTCCGTGCTGCTGTGTAGTGATGCGATGTGTTCAATGAATGATCAACTGTGATTAAAAATAATAATTAACAATGAAAGCTGAAAACAACACGGATTTAAATCCAGTCTCCAAGAAGAGAAGTTATTCAAGTGCTCCAGAAGGAGTTGACACGCAAGTCAGGCTTGCATGGTAAGGGTACAGCATCGGCTGTAACATACCTTTATATTGTGGCGAAGGCATTGTGCAAGAAGCAAACCAGTTTCCTTCATAAACCAAGAACCAGAGGAGCATGTTCAGTCCTAGCGGGCTGAAAAGTGCACTTTTTAAGTGTTGTGGTGTGAGGGGATAAACGGATTTACTTTTAATAAAAAAATGAAAAACACATTTCTTCCGTAAATTCTTGGTGATATGTAGCTCTAGCGAAATAAATCAATTCAGTGACAAAGGACCCATACTATACGCTGATATACAACTGTGATAATGTTACGCGCTACCAATCTGTTTAATAAGTTGTATCTGAGTACCTAGCAGTTTGTAAACGGAATACGATGATTTCTTGTGTTTACAGCTTTTGTTTCTCTCAACACACTTTTCTCACGAAACATTTCTTCATCAACCGCAATTTGTAACTTTATGAACATCTTAGTGTCTTCTCTTTCAAATATTTAGTACGCGTACCGATACTTTTCTCGCTTCTTTACAGCAGCTCTCGTTAGATATATATCCTGCAAGCTAGAAGTTTGTTGTTATTTACCACATTTATTATCTCTTAGCAGGTTATCATATAGCGCTCTTACTTTAGAACATTATCTCTTTCGTTTCCTCTTTATATCATGGACAGCGCTATTCAAGCGTATCTGGGATGTGAGTCCCGTGCAAGTTACGTCTTGCATACAGGGTCTTTGCTGCACTGCATCTATTCATCGCTTGCTGCGCGAGTGCGGGCTGTTACACTGAAGTTCTCTGCGATCTGAGGACCGCTAATTACGGCTAGCCACAGCGAATTAGTAAAATGTGTCTATCAGAACCGTACTGAGCATTGAATGGAAATGAAAGAGTCGCCAAAAAATGGGAAAAGATGTCTTCCAGCAAAGAAACAGCCAAAAATGATCATGAATTATAACAGCATCCCCGTGCGCTGCCAGACTGGGTGGCGCAATTGGTAGCGCTTTCGACTCCAGATCGAATGGTTGTGGGTTCGAGTCCTGCCCCAGTCACGGTCATTTTGCGAAAATGACACAGTCCACAGTTCCATATGCCTGCATGGCCATATCAAGCTTATCCTCCGATTGTTTTATACGCTATGCACAATCCACAGCTTTTTCACATGCCCTTCAGGTCTGCTGTGCTTACTGGCGGACTCATTGATAGAAATTTGTTTGTAAGTCTACCAGCTCACCTCAAGCAATCATACATTTCGCATTTAAAGTTCTGTTCAGCCCATTACAACGCTCCGTGCATCACGTTTCTACACGTAACCTGAAACAATCATGTTTATACTACGTCGATACGCTGCGATAACGTGAGGTAGCACTGATTATACAGCGGTAATTTACCACACACCCAATACGTCACAGGAACGTGATGGTATCGCTTTACTGTCATGCCATGCAGCCGTAGTTGATCCGTGTGGCTGCACCACACTCTTCGTTGTACGAGCCATCCTGTTAGGACCGGCATGCAGTCCAGAATGCGAAAAACTCCGGCAAAGGGAATTGAGCGATTGTTTGGTAACACGCCACACGAAACAACAAAGGTGAATGAACACGTTTACAAAACAGGCACCAGCACAGCCCTCGAACGAACCGCGTTTAAACTGAGTTATCGCTGCGCAGAGGATGGCAGCTACGCTAATATTTGCTGTACCGCGTATTTATTCCTCAAACCGTACGTGCAACGCTAAAAGCAAGTGATATGGTGCCGAACCGCCCGATCATGCAATTGCCCCCAGCCCACCAAGGCAGAGCACGTCAAATCAATCGCGTTCGCTCGTGCACGGAAAGGGTCTCCCAGTCCATGGAATTATCACCACCCATCGCAGTCCCTCACCGAGCACATCATCAGAACACCACCACCCATCGCAGTCCCTCACCGAGCGCATCATCAGAACACCACCACCCATCGCAGTCCCTCACCGAGCGCATCATCAGAACACCACCACCCATCGCAGTCCCTCACCGAGCGCATCATCAGAACACCACCACCCATCGCAGTCCCTCACCGAGCACATCATCAGAACACCACCATCCAAAACAACAAAACAACAAAAAAATAAAAACCGTTCAACAACACAAACAACAATGAACGAGAAGATAAACTGCCATTTTCATTTGCAGACAAACACTCACACGGTGGATAAGAAAGTGAGTGTATCGGCTGAAGAGAACATTTTTAATGTTGTGAGGACGCTGTTTTTTGATGACGGGATGGATGTTAAGGTGCTATTGAGGGAGTATGAGATTGTGATTGGGGATGTGCGGGTGGGTAGGGATGGAAATGTGGAGGAGATTGTGGGTGGGGATGTACGGGTGTGTAGGGATGGAAATGTGGAGGAGATTGTGGGTGGGGATGTGCGGGTGTGTAGGGATGGAAATGTGGAGGAGATTGTGGGTGGGGATGTGCGCGATGGGGATGTGCACGATCGTATCGCCCATGGAAATGGATGTGTTGATAAAAATGTTCAAACGAAATGCAGCACGGATGATGATACGGACAAGGATTGGATAAGTGTTGGTTGCACGGATCAGGGCGTGGCAAAGAGCACATGCATGCACGGGGATGAGCTACAAAGGACTGGAAGAGTATCACGTGGTGCGAATGAAAGCGAGGAAGAAAATGGCAAGAAGAACGAAACTAACGATGCATCTGAGGTGTATGCCTGTGCTTTTGATCAAAAAGCGAACAAATTTTGTGCTACTACACATGAAATGCGTGCTGGTGCATGTCCTGCTGCTGATATCGCACGCGATAGCACCCGCAGTGCCGGTAGCACTGCCGTTTCCGATACGTCCGTAAAAAATTTTTTAATTTCTGTGCCCCACCAAAACGACGTTTTGAAAGTAAAAATACGCCAAAAAGGTGCGCAAGCACCGCCAACTAAGAAAGGGTTTGCCAACCTTGGCAATACATGCTACATGAACAGCGCCCTGCAGTGCATGGTAGATCTGCCACTGCTCACCACGTTCATACGCACAAACACGTTCACGGGACGGCTTACCAATGCGTACAAGGATCTGCTGACCGAGTATGCGGGTGATAGCAGGGTGATAGTGCCTGCCGAGTTTAGGAAGTGCGTCGTGGAGTGCACGAAACGGTTCTACGGGTGCAAGGAGCAGGACGCATCGGAGTTTTTGATCTGTGTGATCGAGCGGATGTGCGAGGAAATGAAGGGCGATGAGGGTGCAGAGCGTGTGAACAGCACGGTTGAGTGCGGTGTTGAAAGCATGCGCATGCATGCGAATGAGTTTAACCTGTTCAGGAAAAAGAATGACAACATTTTCACAGCACTGTTCTTCTCGTGGCTCTCCTCCTCACTTACGTGTCAGACGTGCAGAAATATGAAGGAGAAGGGCGAAGCCTTTCTCTCTCTTGAGCTGCCCATTCCCAACGAGATGAGCTGCCACCCGTCCGTTATCCTCACGTTCAAGGAGAGGAGAGAGCTGATGGGCGGTAAGTTATGTGTGAGGAGAAGGACGGGCAGAGAGGAAGCGCATGATGATGAGCCTGTTCGTGGCGGTACACACCGTAGAGATGGCACGTCGTACAAGAACGTGCCGAACAACGGCAGAACATTCGTAAAGTCGATCAAAATATTCGTGGAAAGCTCGCTGACCGTGAAGGACCTGCTCACCAGAACCGCCCAGAAGTACAAGACGGCCAATCTGGTCGCTGTAGCCAATGCAAAGGCGTTCGCGGTGCTGAGAGACAGCGATCTGGTGTCGCACCACAAGGAAATCTTCGTGTTTGAGTACGATCCGGCCAAGGAGTACGTGTGGATAAGGCTGAGCGTGTGTTCGTTCGTGTTCTACACGTGTGAGATTGATGTTCCGTTCCTTGTTGAGGTGCGAAAATGTGACAACGGAATGATTGAGGGGTTGTTTGGCGAGATCATGTGCTATGTGGATGAGGAGAACTGCTATGGTGGTGACGGTACGTGTAGGAACGGTGCATGCAGGGAATGTACGAGTGAGAGGGGCGTTAGTGGTGGGGAGCACAAAGATGAGGAGCGGGACGAGAACAACAACGTGATCGGTGGCAGCGCATGTGATTTGAACAGTGCCGGTCACAATGGCGCTGATCCAAGCGGTGCCGGTTCAGCTGCCAACCCGGCTGCAAACCACGGATCTGCTGCTCGGCAGATCGGCGACAGGTTCAAAAAGATCTACGAGTACTTCACGATTAACTTCTCGCCGATGAACAAACTGAAAATAGAAAGTACGATGTTTCCCCTGGCAAGCGCCCACATAAAAGAGAAGAGGCTGATCAAGCTCATAGGCAAGAACTACAACCTCAGACACAAGATATACAACGAGAAGAGGGGCACGATAAAACTGGAGGACTGCATCGACCTGTTCCTGTCCAAGGAGTACCTGGGCCTGGATAACAGGCTGGTATGCACGCACTGCGACCGCATCACGGTGCACAGCAAGAAGTACGAGATCGTGTTCCTGCCCAAGTACCTGATCATACAGCTCAAGCGCTTCAACTTCAACGGCGATTACCAGCGCAAGATCAAAACATTCGTTGACTTTCAATCGATTTTGATCATCAACGCGGTCAGGTACAGGCTGAGGAGCACGTGCAACCATGTCGAGATCGGCATTGGCAGCGGGCATTACATGGCGTATTTCTATGGGGATAGGATGATGTGTGCGAATGACAGCGTGGTGAGCGATGTTAAGGATGTTAGCAAGGGCAATGCTTACGTGCTGTTCTACGAGCGGGTGGAGTGAGGCGTGTTGGCACCTGCACTGGCGGGAATGGTGCGGGTGGAGCGAGGGCCAGAACACGGTAATTGAACGCGTTGGGATGGCCGTACCGGTGTAGAACGGATAGCACTCCCAGCGTGTAAAACATTTTAGCGATCACAACGGCCAATCGATGCCGGCACAGCTCACGTTCTCTCTCCAAGACTTTCATCCCCGTGCTAAAACTTAGAACACTCTCCTAAAATAAATTCTTTATTAAGATCCATGATCGGTGATGGCCACTCCACGCACACCTCAGTGCTGTTCATGCGCTCAATTCGTTTTCTATCACCATGCACTGCGAAGGGTGCATCTGAGCGTGCTCTTCGACCGGGTCACGGCCACCCGCTGCGTTTGTTCACGTTTCAAAGTGCACAGCCGTACTTTTTAATTTCTTTCTTCTCACACGGTGTGCACTGCTATGACTGCATCTTTGATCCACTGCTTTACAACTCATCGTTTCTGCTGCTCAACCCACGCACATCACTCATCCGTTGATTCAATCTTATCAGTACGTTTAAAGACGATCGTTTTATGGACCATTCATTCATCTCCATCTCCATTCCCGTTCATTTTCATCTCCATTCCCGTTCATCTTCATCTCCATTTCTATTCATCTCCATTCCCATTCATCTTCATCTCCATTTCTATTCATCTCCATTTCTATTCATCTCCATCTCTATTCCCATTCATCTCCATCTCTATTCCCATTCATCTCCATCTCCATTCCCGTTCAAATCCTCTTCTCACTCCCATTCATCTCCATCTCCATTCCCGTTCATTTTCATCTCCATTTCTATTCATCTCCATCTCCATTCCCATTCATCTCCATCTCCATTCCCGTTCAAATCCTCTTCTCACTCCCATTCAATTCCCGTTCCTTTCATTAATCCATATTTTCTTTATAATCCTCACAACTCTCCGCATCCCATACTTCCTGCCCAGCACCCCCGCACACACCAAGAACCGCCTATCCCTAACCATAAAATAGATCTTAACAAGCACACAAACCTTCAAAAACACGTCTTTGTTCGTATTAAGTATGAGCAGCGCATCCTTCACCCTTTTCTTTCGTGCAAGTCGTAGATGCACGCATTGTTTGAGAATTGAGGCGTTTAGCGCCGATTTCTGGGCGGAAGTGAGTCTCTGAGAACGGAGCAGGGAGAGTAGGGTGGGGATGTGTTGGTTTGGCAGTGTGCGGATCAGAGTGGTTAGGTGGGTGAAAAGAAAGTGGTTCATTTGGGGGTGTGGTTGATTGGTGGTTATATGAACGGACGGCGTAGGCGCAGGTAAAAAGAGAAATTTAGAGGTGCACAGCATTCGTGGTGTAATCCGGGTGTGCACCAGTTTTGCTATTTTTAGACCACGATTAATGACCGGCAACGAAAGCATGGGTTGTATGAGATAGCGGTATCGCGTGCAAGAACTCGATTTAATGCACCGATGTACATCACAAGCAAAGCACAGTTCTTCTTCGTCCACGTTTGCGTGGCAGGTACAAGGCGGTGATGAACATAGAACAGTGCTGATCACCGCATTTGCCCGTTTCGCCGCTGCACCGCCATGACGGTAAATATGCTTTAATTAGCGATGCCCTAAAGCGTACAAACGGGGGTTGACGTGAACAACCTGCCGCGCTTGGTGCAACGCAAAATACGAGAATTGTGCAGATCGCGGCATAACCACCAATTATCGTAGCTGTGCAGTGACCACTGAGCAATTACCTGTTCCCTCTGCCACGGCACAAAACCTCACAGTCAAATTAATAAAATTGCCGCCCTCTCATGCCTATTTGAGCAGCACATCCATCCCAGCAGGAATTATCAATCTGATGCATGCGCTACAATCCTGGAAAGACGATGCTTCCAGCAGTTGGCATGAAGGGGGTGTTGCGCAGCGCATATTTTGGTTTGGTGCCGAAGGCGTTTTCACCCGTAGTTCACGACCCAAACGATGACCGCTTTCCTCCACAAAACGTTCCTTTACCGGTAAAATACGTTAAATACGGCTTGTTTAATCAAATTGCAGGCGAAAGACCAAAATTGAAACGGTGGGTGCACCTCACAAACGGTTTACAGCGATGGAGCAGCCTGGAAGTAAAGCGTGCCTTAGCACCCGCTGTCACAGTGCGCCCACCAACCGCAAAGCGGGCTACACCACGATAAATCGTGCAAACGTGCTCATCAGCACGTAGACATGCAATAAAACGCGCTTTATTTCATCGACAGTGCCTCTGCCTGCTCGGCAAGCTCCGTTCTTCTCTTCTCGTCCTCCCTCTTCTTGCTCACGCTCTCCATCATAACCTTCACGCTCCTAAACATGTTGCCCTTCACCTGTCCGTACATCACCCTGTACTCGCTCACACTGATCGTTCCGTTGGCACGCATCGATTTAAGCTCCGCACGCAACGATCGCACACGCTTCATCCACCGCTCTTTGAAGGGCATCCTCGCGTTTTTGCTGCCCTTCACCTTACCAGGACCGCAATGCCGTCCCTTGGCCTTCTGCTCACGCAGCAAATTTGCGTGGTACCGGGAGTGCACCACCGGCCTTTTCTTCACGATAAAACCGTCCTCGATCAGCTTGCGCACGTCTGGACGCGATGCCGCCGCCTTCAACTTGGATGTCTCGTTAGGATCGAGCCACACCTTGTTCCTGCCACACGATAGAATATTTGCTGCCATTCTTTTTATTGAGGGTCCTTTTGCCATTGCAGGGGCTGTGCCAATTAAAAAATTTTATGGGGTCGTGAGCGGTCCTGAAATTTGGTACGGCAGTTTTTGTCGCCCCTTGAGACGAAACGCGCGACTAGCCGCAGGGCGAAAGGCCCGGTTGTACCTGATAGAAGCTGAGAGGTATGCACAAGCGTTCCATTGAGCGGTGAAACAAAGTTTCATTGCTACTGGTGCATCAGTGCTGACGTGTCACGAAGCGTGTAAAGAAACGGGCAAGGGCCATTCTGTGCACGACTGGCGAGTCGTTCAGGTGAACACGCAGCGCGACGAACCGTGCGGGTTGAACGGTGGGCCACGCCCAATCAAGGAGTGCGGTGTAAAGCACCCGTAGTAAACCGCGGCGTGCCATCCACCAAGTTCATAAAACTACAGGCACAGCCCCACACATAAAACGCGTGCCATCCACCAAGTTCATAAAACTACAGGCACAGCCCCACACATAAAACACATCGCGCACCCCTTCCAATAAAATCCATCACCCAGGATAAACGCGTTTCATCCGGTCACCAACCATAAAACCATTCATTTTTGATCACCCCCACCAAACAAAACGAAAATGTCGCACCGATTGAAAAAGAACCTTCCGTTCTGTCGTGACTGCCAGTCCGACCAGTACATCACAGATGACACGAAGACGGGCGCTGTGCTGTGCACAAACTGCGGCTGTATTATAGAAAACACTCTGATCGACGAGAAAACGGAGTGGCGCACGTTCGATGACAGCGCGAACGACCCGTCACGCGTGGGCTGCCCGAACAATCCCCTGCTGGAGAGCGAGCCGCTCGACACGATGATCGCCAACATCGGCAATCTGCACAGCTACACGCTCAACAGAACGCAGATGAAGAGCACGATGCGTGGGCCTGAGCGGCAGCTCATCAACGGCTTCAATCTCATATCGGCGTACTGCGATCGGTCAAACATCAGCAAGACGATAAGCGACCGGGCCAAGCTTATCTTCAAGCGGGTGGACGAGAAGAAAATTCTGAAGGGCAAGAACTTGGAGGGCGTGGTGGCCGCGTGCATTTACATTGCATGCAGGCAGGAACAGTCGCCGCGTACCTTCAAGGAGGTGAGCGTGCTCACCGCAGTGCCTAAGAAGGAGATTGGACGGTCGTTCAAGCTCATCTTCCCGCACATCGAGAAGCTGCAGTGCGTAACGACCGATGACATCGTTGCGCGCTTCTGCAGTGACCTCAATCTCGGCATCGATGTGCAGAAGATCGCAGTGCAAATCTCCAAGAACGTGATTGAGAAGGGGTGCATGGCGGGCAAGAGCCCTGACTCGGTTGCCGCGGCCGTCATCTACCTGATCACGTACATCTTCCCGAATCTGAAGGGTGTGCAGAAGGACATACAGTACGTGACGAATGTCACGGATGTAACGATCAAGAACACGTACAAGGAGCTCATGCAGTACAAGGAGGACATCCTGCCCAAGGATATTCTGAGCAAGGCTCGTCTGCCCAGCTAGGACGTGTGCTCTAAGTTAAGCAGCACTCATAGATAAATTTACGTTTTATATCGTTTTTTTAGCATTTTGATTTGTTCAGCCCTTGCCTTGCACGTAAGGAAGAGCCTGCCACGTCCATGTTTTTGTCTCTCTTCACGAGCCCTTGCCTGTACTTTTGCTGCACGTAAGGAAGGGCCTGCCACGTCCATGTTTTTGTCTCTCTTCACGAGCCCTCCCGCCTGGTACGATCACCTCGCCAAGGGTTCTGTTCACCTCAAAATCACAAAAAAGCATTCTATCGCTTGAAAACACCGCTGTGCCGTATAAAACAGCCAAAACGTAACTAAACGCTCCTTTACTGAGAGCCATCCTCAACAACGTACTACACACCAACAAAGCACAATGAACGTATTACATACCGGCATCCCCGCTATTTCTTATTTATCGCGCTCACCTTTTCCTTCCATCTCCTATACACGTTCGCCAGCACGATAATCTTTTCATTCTCCCGTATAACGGTGCGCAGGTTGCCGTTTATCTCCAGTAAAATGGTGTTCGTGCATCTTATCGTGTTTTCTAGTCGTTTGATTTTTCGCTGTATCTTTGTGTTGAGCATGGGACTGCAGCAAGGGGTCACGAACAGCAAAAATATAGCGCGGCAGTAAACCGTAGAATTGCCTACTCTTCTTCAGTACCGGATAAAACATCTCTTTGCGTGGTGAAAACATGCTCATGAAGGAGTTGGGAGGGTGCTCTGTGGTACCAGGCAGGTACACGTGTGATCAAATAAAAATCTGACCGGTGATGCTTTGAAGAGTTTTGCCCGTGTCAGCGATAGATCGGTACGGCAATATCAACATTTTTATGAAAGGAGGTTAGAGAAGGTTCTTTCGTACCAGAGCTAAAAATAAATTGCAGAATGCTGTTCAAGGAGGGCGTTTGATCTAGCATGGGGTGGTTTTGGCGTATCCCTGCAGAAAAGAAGAATTAAGCATATTTAACCGTAACAAATACGGTGGCAGGGCGTATTGCTCATATCGGTGCCTGCTGGAATGAAAGTGATGAATAAAACTGCCATTTATTAACACCTGCCAGTGCTGGATGTACCACATTGTGCACCGTTTTACCATCGAATACGGTCATTGCCTGCTGCTCATTTTTACGCGCTACCGTGCTTTAACGTTTGCGATAAATGACTGGGAGGATTGGCACGATACGCATCATGGACTAGTGAACTTGCTTTAGGCATGCTATGAGTGACGTGGATAGGCGTGCTGTGGTGGCACATTGGTGCCGTAATTTGGTCCTGTGCCCAGGTAAAGCATCAAGAGCTTGAGTCTTTCTGACACAGGAGTTGTATCAGACCGCTTACTCAGCCGGCGCGTAAGAGCAGCGTACGGACTGGCAAACGAATCGATATTACGTGCTGATGCACCGCTCGTTCCCATGCCAGGAGGCGGAGTGTTGACGGGCATTTGTCCGGCAGCGATGGGCTGTGCTGCATTGTTCGTGGCTTTCCAGTGCCTCTTGGCTGCTTGATGAACGCCATTGTTCGTGGCTTTCCAATGCCTCTTGGCTGCTGGATGAACGCGTGCTAGCATTTCCATCGTTGTGATGCCGTCCATTCGAGCTGCATCGGTCATCGCGTTCAATCCTACCGTATCTGCCAGACCGCTTCGCCCAAAATACGTTTCTGCCGCTGCTTCCAATGCATCAGGCCCTCCAAGTTCACCGCCAGCCATCACATGCGATTCAAGCACACGCGACCAATCGGCTCTGCCATCGATCTCACGACTCATCGTTTTATTCCCAGACGAGCCGAACGAAATGGTAGGGTCTATCTCCATCCTAATCTCCATCTCATTGATATCCCTATCCGACATAACCTTTCCGTCCTCGTCTGCCATAAGAAATACCTGTGCTAGGTGCTCATCCCTACATTCCTTTCTTTCAAATCGCCTGTCCGACTTATCGTACGTGATGCACCTCCCCCTGTTCGTAATTCTGATCCATCCGTGTTCTGAACGTTCTATCACGAATAGTTGGCTCTTTTTCTTGCGCTCAGGAAGGAATACAAGGTTCTTCTTGCCGCCATCCATGTCCCACACTCTGTTCACCAGGTCAGCCACCATTATTGTGACCTTTCCCGTCTCAGCGCTGCGCTTCTCAACGAATGAGTTGGACCTGGCAAGCGTCGACCATTTGGGATACCGCCCGCCCAGTCCTATGTACAGGTCACTGGTCAGGTGCTTTATTTTGAACAGCTTTAGCGCGACGAGCAGAATGTTAAGGAAAAGCAGCGGAGCCGTCACCATGGAGGTGCGTGTACCGCTTGTTTATAAGCATGTTGTGTGACACGCATGCCTGATAACCGTGAAAGACCGAACAATGATAATTTATTGGAATGGTTTTATGTATCTGTGTCATTTTGGTGTACACCGATGTAGGAGTACGAATGAAGTGCTTTCTCTGGGCATCTTTGATGAGCGGTTTTTGACGTTCATTTTCATTTTCATTCCCATTTCCGTTTCCATTTTCATTTCCTCTCCACGATATAATACGTGCAGCATCGTAGATACGTTAGAAACATCGTAGCGAACACTCACAATGATAAACGTTCTGGACAGGTGGTTTATTTGCTGTTGGTGTTTAGAAGGTCATAATTTGATGGCGAAACGCTGCCTCACAATGACTTAGATCTGTATTGCAAAGCACCAACAATCCTTCCCACGGTAGCGGTAGCTCACCAAAAATTCTTCTATGCGCCCGTGTTGAGGAGTAAGCCAATGAATTTGTGCTGCTGTACGGTTGCATGTAGTGCCCTGTGCGAGAACAAAGAAATAATTTGGTGAAGGAACGGTGCACAAACCGAAAATAGACAACGAAAGTTGCGGGTGCCATTCGCAACAGGCGATGCGCATTTTACAAATTGTTCTTGCCAACGCGAGGGGCTGTCCCTTCGATTCGTTTGTGCACCTGAAAAGCATTTTTGATCACCAGCACTGAACGTAACGGGCAAGAGCACTGCGTTTTGCAGTTCTTTTGGTGCACAGGGTATCCTTCCGTTTTCATGGTCCCTTATCAGCAACAAAGGTTGTTGTCCCCTAACAATGATGTATCCGTGCGCTGATACCGGTTGTTCTGATCGTTCTATACCCGTCATTATCTACTATCCCGCATCTGAGGTCACTCAAACAAAGTTTGGTAATATTTTGGCAGTGATGGGCATAGCGCGAAAATACCGCTTGCTCTGTTTCCCGGCCTTTCAATTCTGAAGAATCGGTAAGTGCGCGCTACAGCGGTGCATCCTGCCCAGCGATACATCAAGTGATGACCGCAATAGTTTTGGTGCAGCAAGACTGGGGGCGTGCTGCCATCGCTACGAGTACCGTGCTAAACATGCACACGAATAGTTTTGGAGACGCGATGAAGTGTGCCACGGCAAGGAAGAGCCCTAGGTTCTGAACCGAATGTAGAAAATGTTGGCATGGAGTGAAAACCACGTTAAAACGCGAAGGATGCACAAAAACGGGTGATCAGGACTTATCAAAATCGTAGGTCAGGTCTACGATACAGTAATAGTGAGCGGTAGGTGTAACCTATGGAAGAAAGGAAGTGATCTGGTACTTAACTCTTTTATTGTGCTACGGTTTTAGAACCGCCATGAGCGACCGGATGAAAAGATGCTTGATTTAGAGGATTGCCTGGAAGGACGAGAACCGCGCCCCATTCCCATCATAGCGTAGAGATTCAGGAGTAATGGCTTGTGATAAAGGTTCATTTCCGTTGACGAGTGGGGGCGTTCGTACGAACTGAAGGAAAAAGATAGCGGGCCGCTAGTCATGTGCTTGTTAACCATTCCCATGCCAGGTGACAGACCACCAGAGTACGAAGTTGTGCTCATCGATGAAGAAGCGGTTGGATTGACGGGCGACTGCATTGCGTAGTACTCCGTGGCGACGGGATGTACACGTGCCATTTCTGCCAATCCCTTGGATGCATTCATCTGTGATGCGTTGGTCACTCCCACCGACTGCAAATACTTCCTGATTGCCATGAGAAACGCATCATCTGCATTCACTCCCATGACTCCCATGGCACCGCCCATTCCCCAGAACGCTCCCGTAGCCGCCGCCAATGCACTAGAACCTCCAGCCTCACCACCAGCCTTCAAGTACGCCCTAAGCGCCATCTCCAGCGATTTTGACTGGTCAGCACCGTCCTCCTCATCGGCGGGAGGAACACCAATTGCCACACCATTCTCGTCAGCCATGTAAAACTCCTGGTTCTCCGATCCTTCCTGACAGGGCAGCTTCTCAAATCTGTTGTCACTTTCTACGAATGTGATGCACTTATCACCGTTCAAGAACCTTACAATGCCATCGTCCGCCTGTTCAACCAAAAATCTTTGGTTGTGATTGCCATGCTCGGGATAGAATATGAGGTTCGCTACGCTGCCCTCGATGTCCCATACCTTGCCAGACAGCTCTTTAACCTCTATTATAACTCGTCCATCTGTCTTGCTGGGTTTTTCAGAAAACGTGTTCGACTTCTCGAGCGGCAGCCATGTGGGATACTTGCCCTCCAGCCCCATGTACATGTCGGTTGCGGGATTCTTTATTTTGTAGGGCTGTGCGCGGATGAGCACTGGCCCGGTCAGCAGTATGAGAGGAACAAACATTGCGGATGAAAAGCACTCGCCTTTTAAGGACATGGTGTAACACACATTCGTGATAAATATGACAAGTTGGGATGAAAGCACACGATAAAGATGTTTCACGTGTACAATGCGCTGCGCGATAGTAACAGCCTATCTCGTTGTGCGCGAGCGTATCGCAAGGACCTTCTGACCAATAAAACATGTTTGTACCTGAGAATCGCTCTCAATTTAGCTGTCAGGGCGGTTTGATGCGATGCTGACGGTGAGGTACGCATCCTAGCACGAACGGTTTGCTGCGGTGGCACGGCTGAATTCGTTGTAAAATTTGATAATTGTTCGGTGCACTGATCATGAACGGTTTTTGTTCCTTGCGATGAGCTTGGGTCAGGGAAGGGAGTACTTCGAGTGGAGAGGGGTGTGCGTTTGCGCTTGATACGTCTCCAGGCCCGTCTCCGCCCTCAGCACAACCTTGTGCCCAAACACGTCTCTTCATCACCGTTTTGTGCGAAGCCATGATCAAACAGGTTCTTAAAATATTTACCGCTTGCACGCACCTCATCCGCATGAGCACGGCTCGTAACGATGCGTTGAGCTAAACGCACCAAAGCGCCATTCCAAGCGTACACCATCGATTTATCGTTCAGGACCACCGCATCACTCATTTGTGTTTGCGATGCGGAGAAGGTGCCTGTAAAGGATAACGGTGCGTTCAAGGAGCTAACAAAGGCAAGCGGCGATAAAAACATCAAACAAGGCTTCTTCATTGGTCGTACCGGTGTATCTCTGGTCAATCAGCGTGCGGTATGCGGTTAAATAAAAATCAGGGCACCGCTACGGTTCCCCTGCAGCAACCAAACCAGTTTAGCAGACGGTCACCGCAACGTACTTTCGAATGAACCTGAAAAGCACAGATCGTTAAAAAATAGCATTTGCTGTAAAAACACTTCTAAAACAACACGTGATTGGTGGGCAAAGCAGAGGTACAAGAGGATAAATCATTTTTAGCACAGAACAATAGAAAAGCGTGTTTTGATGTGGCCGTACGATTTAAATGAATTTTCAACGAAATGTGCTGTTGTGCACGGAATAACTGAAAGGCTGCGTTGTAAGCGGACCGGGGGGTGCTCAAAAAAATGACTGCTCCCCTGCCGAGCAGACCATGCCTTCAGAAAATGACCGCTCCCCTGCCGAGCAGACCATGCCTTCAGAACAAAGACACGCAATTTTGGAGAACGTGCCACGAACAGCATGCACACAAGGAAGCCCCTTAACCCTTACAACGCGCTCCTTGGCAATTAGCACCACTGAAAACACGAGGAGAGTGCATTATCCACACTCAGCTTCAACGCCAAATAACTTTATTTTTTCCTGCTCACACCAACAATACGGCCGTGTCTGCCGTTGCTTTTGGTCCTCTGTCCCCTCACTTTCATTCCCCTTGCAAGCCTGCACTCCCTCACCGCCTTTATCTTCTTCCCCCTTTCCAGGCTGAACCTAAACGCAGCATCAATCTGGTTGCCCACCAGGTGCTTGTCCTCACCTGTGGTGTACTCCTTCCTGTAGTTGTACATCCAGATAGGTATGCCCACCGACTTAGGATCCTGTATTGCGTCGACCAGGCGCTGCTGCTCCTCGGCAGTGAGCTCACCAGCACGGCAGTTGCGTATCTGAGTGCGTGTTAGGAGCGTGCGTGCGAAGCGCATGCCTATGCCTTTTATGGTGGTGAGGGCCTTCAAAATCTGCCTGCGGCCGTCGATGTTCGTGTTGCACATGCGTATCATGTGCTGAATTGTTTGTGGTGAGTCGTTGTAGTTGAGCGCCATTTTCCTGAGGGGTGAGCAAAAAAATATTTTTAGGACGAGCGGTTGATGAGGAGCGCTTTACTGGCGAGCAGAACATCGCGTGTTCTCAAAATTATGAGTCCCTCACCTCAACACCGGGTAAAGCGCCTCTTCAAACAGAACAAATATTATTTGCAATAAAAATCGTATATTTGCAAAAAATAAATTTATTCTCTGCTCACCGAACACGGCACAGGGCACGATAAATTGTATTTATTTTATTTTTGCATTGCTTGGGTGGTAAACGATTTCAATTTGGATGATGAACAGGAGTTGCACGTGGTGTGTGCAATACGTAGGCTTGCTCTACCAATGACAGGGAACAGAAAGTAGCAGCAATCATTGGAAGTGATGAACCTGCAGGTATGGTTGTTATAAGAAGAGCAGCACGGCAATGCATAGGCCTGATCAGAACGAGCATAGACACGGCGTGCTAGAGCGCCTTTCTGCCATGAGAGCACGCAAACACCTGCCCCACATTGCCACATCTACTCCAAAACAAAATGCTCAATCCGTAATCGACCGCATTGCCTGGCACGATGATGTACTAAAATACCGATGGTGTGTCCCGGCAGATCGGAAAAGTGCGTTTGCTGGAGCGGTGCGGTGTGCACGCTGATCAACAAACTTTGAATTGGTCTACGAAAGGTACGGGTGGTTAAACAGCGTGTTTTCACTGCAGGGAATACCAAAAGGACCAAGTCCGGCCAACGAATGGTACGTAAACGTTCTGTTCTACGAGGAATGCTACACATCTCTGCCCAATCGTTCTCATTAAAAACGACCACGTGCTAACCCGGCCAGCAAAAAATTAACGTGCAAATCACTCCCAAACATTAGAACACGTTTTGCTCCTGCACTTCATCTGCTGTTCGTGAACTACAAAACGGGTGTAGAACCGCACTTCGCCCGTTTTATTCCTTTAAATGCCAAGGTGTCCATCGTTATACGTGAATACTAAAACATTGCCATCACGATTGGTCATTTTTGCGGACCTTCTTCAAAATTAAGTTTCTTCCTTTTGATCCGCTCGGTGCACGGTGATTACGCCACAGGTATCGCAATGCACAACAAATTCGTTGCACCGTGCATCGGCTGGCACTTTCAGAGTTGCTGCCCGTAATAGCAGATTCTTCCTCACCCCCTCCCCTTGCTCACCAAATTTTTTTCGTACTTCCTCCCCTTGCTCACCAAATTTTTTTCGTACTTCCTCCCCTTGCTCACCAAATTTTTTCCGTACTTCCTCCCCTTGCTCACACCCTATACCCCTCTCCTCAACACCCCCTCTTCCTTCCCATACCAACCTGTCCTAGCAGATAATTTCATCCTCTTCCTCGCTCTCATCCCCAATCTCACACCCAATACTCCTCTCCTCACACCACGCTTTAACTTTTCTTAACACCTCGCCATCCATTCTCATCCAATCACCAGCCTGCTCAACATCAAAAGCTTGTCGGATCTCCTCCCAAAACTTTGCACTCACCCGTACCCTAAACTTCTCCCGTTCATAATCCGCATCTCTTGCTGTCAGGTCCTTCACAATGCTGTTCGCCACCACCTTCACATCCCTCGACACATCGTATCTCCTCACGATGTCCATCGCTTCCTCCAAGCTGATTCTTCTGCGCTGGTAGCGTATCCTTCGCATCAAATACGTGCTCACGCTCCTTATCTTCTTATCGGTGTTGTGGTCTCTGGTGGTGCTCTCCTCCTTGTCGTGGCCGTTACGCAAAATGTGCTCGATCTTTTGGTCCATGTTATCGCCCGGTATTGCTTTAAGAGCCTCCCTGTTGTGGAGCAGACCCTTTGACACGCTCTTGTATATGCAATGGGTGTGTACCACTGAGGAGAGCGGTAGTAGGTTGTTCAGGTACGGCTTTAGCGTGTTGGGATAGATGGGCACCTCGTAGGTCACGCTATTCTTTCTTAGCGTGATTGTTGTGACGTTAATTAACTTTTTTATGTTGGAGGGCGTGAACATGGCGAGGGCTGTGCGTGGTTTGTTTAAAAATCATCGGTTTGGGCACACGCCTACCAGGTGGTGTGCTACGGTGCAGATGAACAATCACCTGGTTGTTCGGCGTGTTCTAGCGCTTCAATAATTGAGCGTATAGCCTTACCGAAGCTTTAAAAAACTAAAACTGGTATTTCTAGCCGATGCTGTTGCATATGAAGTTTATTGCAGGGACTTGGGTATGCTTGAAAAGCCTGGCTACCACATTTTCAGCAATGGTTTTGTAGATGAATTGACCGGCAGTGATGGGTTGCTCTCTTGGTATGCATAAACGGTTAGGATTGGAAAAGCATTTACCTGCCCATAACTGATCCATGTCTTACACTTTCGTGCACCCTTCCCGCAAATAGGCCCTATTCTGGTGTTATCTAATCCACAGCACGGTTTGCGGTGCAAAATTAATTTTTTAGCCCCTACCAAAATGTGCAACCAGAAAAGACGTAGGTGATAAAATGGTATTTTACAAGTCACAGGCGGGTGATGAGTACCAGCGGGCCAGAAAGTGTGTTGTTTGGATGTTGATGTATGAAGAAGTGCGCAAACCTGATTTAGTAAAAACGACGTGCCAGTACGAGCACACTGCTTGTTAATACCAGCCACCATGATATCCGTGAATGGACAGCTTTATTTTGGCTCTTCTAAACTGCGCTTTTACAGATAACCAACCGCGTCTCCGCATCGTCCACAGTATCTATAATCGTTCAAAATGACATTCCTGCAATTCTGGCATATTCTCACCCGCCCATCGCTAAATTTGCCCTTGCACACCTCACAGCCCGTGTACGTCATCGCTGTCTTTACGGGGCATAGCGGTATAAAAAAGAATGTGAAGTAGTACTTGTGCACAATATCGGCAGAGTTGACAGTGTTGCAGCAGTACGGGCAGTACACGTCTTTTACGGCATTTTCATTTTTTCTGGATTTCACCTTCGTCGAAAGGCCACAGATCAAGCAGTTGCACATGGGCAATGGTCTGCTTCACTTTTTATAACTTGTGTTCTTAAATGTTTTAGATTGACGCTTTTGGTATGTTTACGCAGTAATCACCAATAAAATTTTTAGATGACCAAAAATTTTTGTGGTGTGGGGGATGAAAAACGTACTTTTAGCGAAAAGCGTTCTACGCCTTCTTAAAACTAGCAAATTGCACTTTAACTTAGAATTGTTGTTCTTAACGAGGAACAGCAATTAATAACAAAATAAGTATTTTGTCAGATGGCAGTGCATTCTTTGTTTTAAGCCGCTCTTCGTGATTCTGCCCTTTTGGGCACGTGAAGTGATATAAAGCGATTTTATGGCAGTGCATTCTTTGTTTTAAGCCACTCTTCGTGATTCTGCCCTTTTGGGCACGTGAAGTGATATTAAGCGATTTTCAGCAAGTAGGACACTTTTCGATGAAAGATCTGTTGTTCTATTTATTTGATCATCTCCTCAAGACAAGATTCGTATTACCGTGCAATAAAATTTATGTATTCTCTGGAACCATCATTTCTTATCCCAGGCTCGTTTCACGTGCTGCACGTTCCTTGGTGGCGTACGAAAAGTATGTTTAGATCATAAAGTGTGCTCTTATATGCCGGATAAGAACGGTTATATATGCTCATAGGCCTGTACAATGGCACACTGCTGTCTAAAATGTAATTTATTTTTTATGGCAGCTCGTTTCTACCTGAAGTATGGTGCAATAATTTCTACAGATCGTGAGAACCGGTCACAACAACCTTTGATGTTCACCATTGAAATGTTTTAGGGACAACGCCACGTGCTGCTGCAATTTTATCTTTTCACGCTAACAATGATCAAACATCCTTTTTAGCAGCACATACACCAGGTACAGCATAAATATTAGCACGTTTTTGCCTGCAATACACCCAACCTGGACAGCTGATGGTTTTGTGTGCAGCACCTGGTCCTACGCACTGCTTACATCATCAGTACGTATTACAACCGGTGATCAGCACGAATCGAGCAGATCGGTGTGTTTCATAAGTTGCGTACATACGGAACACCATGATTTACTGATCGCGTTCATATTGGCAGATCGGTGTGTTTCATAAGTTGCGTACATACGGCACACCACGATTTACTGATCGCGTTCATATTGGCAGATCGGTGTGTCTCACCGATTCTACCAACCAAGATGCGATTTTCCGCTGTAATTTGGCTTAAAACATGAAGGTTGCTCACCGCCTTTGTATTTGTTGCAGGCTCCTTCCTAAATCATAGCAAAGCATGAAGGTTGCTCACCACCTTTGTATTTGTTGCAGGCTCCTTCCTAAATCATAGCAAAGCAGTTTTGTTGCTTTTTCACTAAATTACGTTTTCTTCTCTCCCACACAACCAATTGCTCCGGTCTCGTACAACGAAACAGTTCAATGGTAGAACATGCTTAGCTCTGATTACCTGCTCGCTTACACCGCGTACTCTTCGTGCACATAACACGGTCATTCCTTAAAATACCTACCATGCACCGCAACATGTCCGTATGGTGCTCTACCACCAAATTTATATTTCTCCTTAGCAATTACGATGAGTAACCGTGTGCGCACCTGGAAAGGGGGTTGTACCGGTACAAATGTAAATTAGTGCTGTACTTGTGGTTACTCTCCGTTTATCACACATTTCTGCGAACAGAAATGGTTTGGATCAACAAAACGAAGATGTTCGTTTTGCAGGCATTCATGGAGATGGCGTGTTATCTTGGTATGCGTACAATCCCTGGATGAGAAAAGTGAACGGTAGAGGGAGGTGCTCAGGCATGTGATCGGTAAAAAACGTAGAAGTACATCCAATCAAAGATTAAGTATGCTACGTTTTTATTTACGGGAGTGTGTGCTAGCGGGCTCATCACCACGCCTGCCATCATCACGGTTCTATAGCCAATCCACACCTGCCTACCACGCCTGCCATCATCACGGTTCTATAGCCAATCCACACCTGCCTACCACGCCTACTTACCACGCTTACTTACCACGCTTACTTACCACGCCTGCCATCATCACGGTTCTATAGCCAATCCACACCTGCCTACCACGCCTGCCATCATCACGGTTCTATAGCCAATCCACACCTGCCTACCACGCCTACTTACCACGCCTGCCTACCACCCTTACTTACCACGCCTGCCATCATCACGGTTCTATAGCCAATCCACACCTTCCACAGTACCGATACCTGCCTACCACGCCTACTTACCACGCCTGCCATCATCACGGTTCTACAGCCAATCCACACCTTCCACAGTACCGATACCTCGCAATTATAACATTTGTACACCGTTCACATGTTTTAACACTCCGATCGCCAAGTTTTTTATAGCAGCTCTTACAGCCCACGTACTCCGATGAAGTATAAAGCGTGTACAAAGGGAAGAAACAGAACGTTAAATGCGTTGTATCAACGAGCCACACGCTCTTAGTACTGCTCGCACAGTACGGACAGAATATATCATTGGTGTCTTGATTTTCAGTTCGTTTCGTTTTCCGCTTCGTGCCACAGAATCTAAGCTCACACATGTGGTTGTGTGTAAAGGATCCTTTTAAATGCGTGGTGTTTCATCTCTGTTGTATTGATAACCTGTTTATGCCAGGGATTGGTATTTTGGTGATTGGCTGGTACAGCAGATGTGATTATCTCGTTGTGATTGTTCCGGTGCACTAATCAGATTGTACGTGGTTTGACACGACCTGCCCATCCCTTAGGTAAATCTGTTCCTGCCAAGACCTGCTTGCACATCAAGTACCTGCAGCGAAACGACCCGCCCATTTACGTGATATAACGAGCAAATGATCCATTCTTAGCCCCTTTTCACTAAAAATACGCTATTCGTCCTTTCCTACTCACACACGTCTAATCAGCGCATCGTGCCATGCGACACGTTGTACAACCCTTGTAACGGGGATGTCCCGCAAATACGGTAGTTCTACCAAAATTTTTAGCGCTCCAAAACGGAGAGAATACAAGTAACGTATTTCATAGGCAGTTACACACATCTCATGGGGTCATCTCCATCGCACCCCTTGTTACGGTCCCAACCATCTATAGCATATTCTTTTCTTATTTTTTGTTTTACCTCATCTCAGTTTAATTGCACCTACAAATTCACGTCATTTCTTACGCTCGGTACGATTTAATGTACAGTAATTCGCATAAATTACGATTTAATTAAATACTGTGATAAAATTGCACAGATCTGCCATCATTCTGATAGATTGCTAGCTAAATTTTACGTTGCCTGGTCTGCACGACTCGCTGTACGGCATGTTTGTGCAAGAGGCTGCCATCATTCTGATAGATTGCTAGCTAAATTTTACGTTGCCTGTGATGAGGAGTGGTATGTGGACAAACAAGGAATAGAGCAGGTATCAGCGTACATTGGTGCTGCTGAGAAAGGTGCAGTGCAACAAAAATAAAGAATCTTGAAAATGTGCAATAAAAGGCAATTTACAAAGCATTGACAAGAACGTACGAGCAAAGACGTGCACGTGGCAAATATAGCAGAAAAATGGGCGGTGTGATATAAAACGTAAAATACGATCAAAAACAGATGCAGCACCAGCACGCATCAAATACTGCACAGCACGCCATCGCAGTGCACTACGCTTCTGTTCCGCAATAAAAACACTCCCCGTTTATTTCACTTTCTAAAACAACATTTAAAAAAAAAAGAATTAAAAGGGCATCAAAAAAAAGAAAAAAGAAATTAAATTAAATTAATGGGAAACGTAATAGAAGACTTGAACAAAGAGAAGAAGCTACCGTACGTAAGGAAGAAGAACGTGGAGAGAAAGGTTGTGGGCATCGATATAAACAAGAAGATAAGGAGAGTAAAGATGGGGTGCAGCACGGCTGATAGCATGAAGGTGCATTTGAGTGATAACAGCAGTGTTGAGGAGATTTGAGTTTTACAATAAATATAATCATATTCAGGTGAATGGCGGGGATACGTTCTTTTGGGTTAGATCGCGGGCGGGTGCCTGTGCTGCGATGTGGCAATGCTTCGGTGCAAATTCTCTAAGTGCCGGTACTTGCAGTCGGGCAGTACCACCGCTGTGTACTGAACAGTCTTCCTTGGTGTGCAGCACCTCTTCATAGCAAATCCTTCCTCTGTTCATGATAAATCTGCCTTATCAAAACTTAACACCTATCACAGCATCCTTCTCATACGAAAAGAACACCGTGACGTTTTGAATGCCTGCCCAGCGCAGGATGTGCCACCAATTTTTTGATTTTCAGGAGGGCCATACAACCAGCACAGACAGCCGTTCATCAATGCCTGTGATGCTGCACTTTGCTACGTCCTCGTTTAAAACTAAGTTTTAATTTTCATGGAATGCATGTCGGGTGATGGCAGATAGAATTAGACCAGAGGATAAACATCGACAGCCGCAGCGAAAACACTGCTCAGCTTTATACACGGTTGCGTTGCCCGCTGCTTTTTACGTTGTTTCTGCTGTAGGCGGTTCAAAAACCTTTACATTCTTGTTTTAGTACGAATGACGGCTCCACAGCACACGAATCTAAAATTATTTTTTGGCCTATTCATGCGCTTTGATTCGTGACGTACTACCCGTGTCCGCAAACACTTAGCCGTACAAAATTGCTTTTTTAAAAATGTTTGTTTATCTCCATACACAACCATCGTATAGAACTGTTAAATTTTCTTGTACCAACAGCTGTCCATGTAAACTAAGCATGCGCATGAACATGCAGTTTTGAGATGCGCACTTACTCCTCCGGAAATGTGTTTCATGACGCTGTGCGAGGTAACAACTAAATGTTTTTGGTATAAATTGTAATTTCTGCTCTTTGATTGCAGACATGCTGATGGTGCTCGTGGCGGGACTTGGATGCACAGATCGGTCTTTATAATGGTTTTAGAGGGAGCGAAAATTACAAAGATCATATTTTTGTTTCTTTAAGCATAATTGCATGGTCTAAACTAATTGTATTTTTGGATAAATACCTTATTTGGAAATGCGATATGATGCATAAATACCTTATTTAAGATTTCTAAAAGTATATAAAAAATTAAATTTATCAGAAATGCGTGCAAGTGGATGACCTGCACAGGAAATCACATCACTTGGAGATCCTTCTAAATTCGTAATTGAGCCATCTGCTGCCAACCACCGCCAAGCACCCATAAAACAGATACGAACCTATTTCTGCCTTGAAGAAGTTCATCCTGGAGATGAATGCAACCAGAACATTTCCGATCGCTGCCATGAACAGCCAGATAGCAAGTACCACCGAGCGGAATCGCTTGGGTGCCATGCTGTACGAGTACTCAAGGCCTGTCACGCTGAGCAGCACCTCACCTGCTGTCATCAGAACATACTGCGGCAGTTGAACCATAACGGTCAGACTCGGTTCCTTGTAGTGCTCGACAACGGCTGATAAGAAGAACGACACCGCGCCCAGATAAAAGCCTGCAACCATTTTGGTGCGTGCCTTCAAAAACACGAAATGCGAGAACAGAGGAATGAAGATCAGCGTGAGCAGCGCATTGAACACCTGCATCTGCGAGGGAAGTATCGTCCATCCTAACACATTGCCGTTCAAGAAGCTTGCCTGGTCGGTCCACGAGGTGGCCTGCTGGTCGTAGATCGTCCAGAAAAAGATGATTGGCAGGTACAGCCGGCATATCTGCAATATCTGCCTGCACTCTTTCTTTATCGCGCTCTTGTGCTCTTTCCGCAGGTATTCTGCGCTGCGGGAGTGGTCGAGTGTTATCGTCTTGTCGGCGCTGTAGGTGCGAGCATCTGCAACGGACAGGTTCGTCTCGCCGTACACGCGCACGTCCTTTGGTTTCGTTTTGTGCCCTGCATAGTCTATCCACACACTTGGACTGGTGCCTTCTTTGCCTGTTCTTCCGTGCAGGAATGCATCGTCTAACGAACTAAAATCCATCGCATTGAAGGAATTTGAGTCGTTCATCACAGAGTTGGAGAAGTGCTCGGCCGTTGCGTATCTGTTTATGTTCTCCTGTTCCACGTCGTAGCTCAGCTCGTTGCTGTTCTCATCGCAGGAGTAGCTGTTGATTCCGTGCACATGGGCTGAGTCATCTGATGCCGTGTCGTACGAGGGCCGCTCGCCGTAGAACGAATCGTCCACCGGTGCAGCGCATATTGTTTGGTCCGGTGTGCCCGACGAGGGATGGCACACGTCGTGTGTGTAGATGTAGTCCCTGCCGGTGTACATCGCATCTCTGCCCATCCGTTCCTCGGTCTCGCATGATGCTGCATGCCTGGGCAGATGCCCGTCCCTATGTATCATCTCATACCTCTTGAGTATTGCCGCACGGTCCTTCATATCCACATCAATCTCGTACACGCCTGTGTGCTCATCCCCCTGGTGTTCGTCCTTGCTGTACGTGCGATCTCGCCCGTTCATCATCAGCACCCCGCCCGTCCTGTGCGAACCAACCACCTCGTTGAAGCTGCTGCCGTTCGTCTCCAGAACATCGCCCATTCTGTGTGCACCAACCACCTCGTTAAAGTTGCTGTTCTCCTCGTTGTTTTCTGCCACCTCACACAGGTCCTGGCAGAACCCGTAGCCGTGTCCAACATAAAACGACTTTCTTTTTTTCTTGAACAGAAACGCCTTCAACTCCTTGTACATTCTAGGATCGGGCCTATTTATCGTGTACATTCGCGTGCCCGACACGAAAAGTACAACTGCCATTGATATGAGCACAAACGGCACGATGAATGCGATTGTGTAGTTGGTATGTGCTATTATCGGCAGAGTGAGGATGCTCACCATGGCACCGCAGTTGATGCTGAAATAGAACAGCGAAAAGAAGTTTGAATTTTTGTTCGCCTGATCACCACCGAATACCGAAATACACGGTTTTATACCGCCTGTTCCCATGGCAACTAGCAGAATGCCCGAGAGAAACGACAGCGTGCTTGAAGTGTACGCGGATATCACGAGCATGCCCGTGCCAAGCACATACACGATAGAGAGCGACACAATGGTCCTGTAGTGCCCGACGCGCACGTCAGAAAAGAAGCCGAATATCATTGCAAAGAAGAACGCAAGGAAGAAGAAGGCATGCGACAGGCCCTTGGCTGCAGACACCGAGTACGACAGATGGTTGTGCAGAAATGGAAAAAGAAGTGCGCGCAGACCGTAGTAGCAGAACCTTTCGCAGAATTCGGTGGATATTATGAGGAAGAGCGTCAATTTTTGCATTGTATGCCGTATTACTCCTGTTTTTAACATAAAAGTGAAACGAAAGTAATAAACACTGAAACAACGAGTGTGAGAGGTTAAATGGACAGGAAGCGCTTATTTTGTGTGATTTGATCACGGGCACGCCGAACAGTACATGTTCGTGCCTCCTGATGAGCAATTCAGGTGTTCTGACCGAGTTCTTTTGCTGCAGCAGGATTAGAAGGGCAGTTCATCAATCTGCATTGTTCATGCTTACTGATGGGCAATTCAGGTGTCTTGAATGCGCGCCGTGGTTTGCATGTTGGAACCATGCGAGTAATCGCAGTTCATTCATTTAGCAACTAGGATGTGCAGAATTGCACATTGTGTTAATTTTCTAATGTTGATCGAAAATGAGGTCGCAATTTATTCTGCCTAAAGCATGCACGGTGCACTAAACGGAATATTCGAACCGAACAGTCCCTACCGTTCGTTGTTCACATCCTAACTGTTTTGATACCGCTGGAGCGGTGCATTAGAGCATTGCAGAAGGTGTTAGGCCTCAACGGATGGCAAACACTCAGAAACATGAAAATGGTTTTACACTCGTTCATCTTGCGGACAATCCTCACCGCCACGCCTGAATAACGCGATAAAATGCCAGAATATGACTTTCAGACTGTACAAACATCTGAAATTGTCATTTCAGCATTTTATCGCGTTATTCAGGCGTGGCGGTGCGAGAGTAAACAAACGACCTTGGGCAAAGGGCAATGCCAATCTTAAATGATGCAACCTCCTCAAACAACGATAGCACTTGGAATAAGAAGACCCTGCCACAACGAAAATGCCCAATGCTGACAATTGAAAGCTGCAGAATCGGAGAAGAGTGGCATAAATGTTCACGCATGGCACATCGGTGCATGAGCATACAAATGAGGTTGTTAAGCATAATTGTTGTTAAGAAGCGGAAACATCGGTGCTATAGACAAGAGATCGAGATGTTTTGGCGTTAGATGGTGTTAAAAGCAGGCGGTGCTACGGTTTGGTATTCACTGCACAGGAAGGTGATTGCCGCATGTGATATGAATACATCATGGGCTTGTACTCGTGATGTGGCAAGGATTGTGCTTATGGTGTTGATTGGGAATGGCAAGGATTGCGTATGGTGCTACTCTGATCAAAGCTATGAATCGCACTCTTCACATGTAAAAAAGAAATACGGCACATTCAAATTTACTTAAATTAATGGAGCAGCTCATCGAGCATGAGAAGAAACTCAAAATGCGCGTTACTCCTTGCCTAGTACCATTTCGCGTATTACGTCAATAAGCGATGTGAGCTGCTCATTTATATTACAAAACGTTTCAGTTCGCGTTAAAAAGACGGGTACGTCAGGCATTCCCCAGCATGCTGAGAAACATTCTTTTTAACCTGCTGTGCACTTTTGCATCGATAGTGGTGAGCAGGTACAAAAGACCAAGGAAGTACCAAAACAAGAACATACTCGTCATAGGGGGTACGAGCGGGCTGGGTCTTTCGCTTGCGCTGAAATTGTCAAACCATAACTACGTAACGGTGTCGGGCAGAAGTACGTTTGATGTCACCTACCTCCCGCTACGCTTTATACGCATGGATGTAACGCAGGGATGCACAGATCTGGAGGAGTATGATGTGGTGTTTTACTGTGCTGGTTATGCTGTTGCAAAGTATTTCGTGGACCTGGAGTGGGACGAGATTATGCACGAATTTGATGTGAATTACTTCGGTGCCCTGAGGATGCTGAGAACATTAGCAGGATGTGACAGACACACCAATACCAGGGATACCGGTGCACAGGACGAGTCGCTGTTTAGCGCGGCAGTGCGCATCGGGCGCAGGGGTGATGTTACATCGCATGCAGATACCCGTGCTGAGCACATCACAAAGCCAAGAGATGTGGTGCTCATAGGCACGCCTTTAACATTCTTCTCCCTACCAGGATACGCCGCATATTCACCCTCCAAGTCTGCGCTGTACAATCTTTTCTCAACAGTGCGCCCTGAGCTGAGCAAAATGAAGATTGACCTATACTTTTACATCTTGTCCACCACGAAGACGCGAGGCTATGACACGGAAAATATCACAAAGCCGGAATTTACCAAACAGATAGAGATGTGGACGGATGAGACCTGTGTTGATGAACGGAGTGATAGGTTATTGAACGGAATGGCCTGGAGCAACGTGGTGACGAGCGATTGCTTGGTTGAACTAATGAGAGGCAACATGGAGTGTGGGATCAGAGGAATTGTGATAGGCTGTGTGGGCAGCATTGTGCTTTTCTTTTACAGACGGTACCTGAACTACCTGTTTATACACGAGAAGTGATTCGCTTGTGTTTAAGTGAGCATGAATAGATAAGATTGGATTGTAACGATCTGCTGCCGTGTTTGTGTGCATGGAAATAATAAAAACGGATTTATCCCTTTAAACGCTTTTTAATGGCAGACATTTCTGCGCTCTTAAACATAACGCTATTGTTAACGGACAGCTGCTCAGATACTACACTGCACAGCTCATCATCACCACATAATCTACATACAACAAGCATACGTAGCAGCACTTACGGATTGCAGCCTTTTCACTTCATGCAAATTTAAATAAGGTTTAAGCAGCACCTAGGGATTGCAGCCTTTCCATTTCATGCAAACCTAAATAAGGTTTTTAAAGGTATAAATACGAATGAACAATGCCGAGTTATAAGTTTCATGTTGTTCATATCCCATTCTCACTGAAAATATCGCAGAATGGCATGTCCCAGACCAAGTTCTTGAACAGAAATCGGTACATGCTTTCAGGCATGCTGTTCTCCATGTAATCATGCACGCTCTTATCATCATATGCGACCTTATACCTCGCAATCTCCGGGTTGAAAACTCCATCCTGCACAAAGAGCCACTCGTCCGATTCAAGATATCGCAGCTTGAACAAAAGCCGATTTATGATATCTGCTTTGCTGGTTGACATATTTGCAATTGTTTTCTTCTCGTTGCCTGCAGAGGAATCTTTCGAAACAGCATGTCTGGCGTCATCCCTTGCATCTCGTCTCGGCGAGCTCGCGCTCATGTCACCATTAACATATTCATTGTCGCCATCGCGTGAGATGTATCCATCGCTTGCCCTAGATATGCCCTCAGCGCCATCAAACGTACCTACCCTGCCCCTGTCAAAACTGGCCTGCTCAACATCCGCATCAATCACTCGCCTGAATATGACATTCTTATAGTCAGTGTACACCCGGTCCTCGCCCCGCCAGTCGTAGTCGCTGTAATTGCGGTTTTCCATCACCTTCAGATCCACCCGGCAATACGCAGCAATATCGCGTTTCAGTTTCATAAGCAGAAACGCAACGTAGGTATTGAACACAAACATGGGCTTCCGCTCAGGATATCTCCCATACAGGGTCAGATACTGCTCCTTGCCCGTTCTCTGTATCATTTTCAGCAGGTTGGTTGAGAGCAGTATTTCTGCCATGAACTTGTAGTCCTCCAAACAGTTCTCCAGGAACACCGTGAACGAGTGCAGAACAAACGTGTTCGTAGTTTCGAAGAACACCGAGATGAAGTATATGTGGAGCAGCTGCTTCCTTATTATCTCGCGTATTTTTCTGTACTTGCTGCAGTAGCACAGCAGATTGAGTTTTAAGGAGAGGTGCAGCTCAAGAAAGCTTTCCTTCAGCTTTACCAGTTGTCGCTCAACGCTCCGCTTATAGTTTCCCCGTTTCTTGTGCATCTTGTCTCCATTCACGTAGTCGATCTCCAGGTTTGGTATGAAATCGGTGTTGTTGAAAATGAAGTCGATCGGAATTACCTTATTATCATCCGACTCGTCGTTTGAAACGTCTTTTTCCGGATCACCTGCGCTTTTACTGCCATCGGCCGGCTCTTTCCCTCCGCTGCCTGTGCCCTTTTTACCCCCATCCTTACCGGCATCATCCTTGTTCTTGCTTCTGCCCTTGTCCACCTCCTTGATGCACACATCGTCCAGCGTATTAAACAGGAACTTAAAGGTGTTCATCCGCCTGCCCATCATGTCAACAAGCACTTTGCTGTTTCTCTTACTCACCAGTGTTTTGAGAATGTTGAATAGAGAATTCAACTCGATGATGTGCACATTCTCTTCAAGAAACAGGTTGAGGATTACGTTGCTCTGTTTCATAATTTTGTGATTGATCGAATCATCGCTGTACTTTTTGAGAAACGAGAGAATTATGGCCAAGACATTCCTGCGTATCTGTATGTTTGCCTTGCTCGTGCTTTTATCATCATTTGTACGGTCATTCGCATCATCAGGTGTGGAGTTAGCATTTTCTGTTTCGGAGTCGCCCACTACGCATTTATCCTTGTCCTCATCGCTGATCCTCAGCTTCTTGAACTCCTTGATTACCCCCTCCAGGCCGTCCTTTGTCTTGTTCTCCTTTCGCACATACTTCACGCTCTCCTCCTTCTTTTTCTTTTTTTCATTTTTTATAGCCTCGTTCCTCAGCTCGTCCAGCCTATCGCTGAACCGCACTCTTATGTTCTCGTAGTTGTACTCGCTACTGCACTCGTACTCTGATATATCCTTGCCAACCGTTTGCTCCAGCAGCGTCAGGAGGCGCGTAAAGAAGCGGTACTTCTTCATTAAAGCAAGAAATGAATCGAACTCCTTCTCCCGCATATCGTAGAACTTGACGAACGTGTTAGCAGCATTTTCGATGTCTAGGCTATCAAGAAATAGGCTAAACACCGATCCGCGCATGTTGTAAACCACGATATCGGGGTATTTCGTGATCCAGTGGTGCAGTATTTTGGCATAAGCATGTGGATTATCCTTGTAGGTGTGCAAAAATGTCCCGAATCTGCGCGAAAACGCGCTGTCTATTTCCAAGTTTTCTACAAGCAGCAGGGGAAACAGGAGAGCGCAGTTAGTTGGCAGTATTTTGAACACCAAGTCGATATTACGCACGAAATAGGAGGTGCTTTGTCTTTCCTTCCTTTTTATCAGCTGCTTCGAGACTGTGAGAAGGTACTCAAAGGCTTTCAGCCGCTCTTCTTCTGTTTCATATTTTTTGTTGAAGTCGTACTCCTTCATGAGGGTACAAACGTGCAAAAATGGAATTATAGCGAATGACGGAGCGGTCGGACCGTTCCGGCGTAGAAGTTGTTGCCATGCGAAGGGACAAGTGGCGGACCTTAAGCAGGACAACGGGGTGGCAGCCTGCCATCCCCTTGTTTACTATGACAAACACAACAGCACTATTCTTTTATAAATGACTATGCGCATTAATATCTGCTCTGGTCATTCGTTGTTGAATAAACGCATGCTACGCTTGTCATTTGTTGCTAAAAGCCGTTTATTCACCGCCTCGCACATCAACAGCACCCAAACAAACAGTCGCACCATAGTTTACGTATTTTTGTGCGCTGTCAGTCCACCAAAGGTGTAACGAGTACGTTACCGGCTCGGTACTTGTGGCAAAATACGCCATATAAAACGGATGGCTGTACACCACCATTACCTGAACTAAGTACTAAACTGGTAACAACGTAATCGGTTGCTGTCTTTCACTCGTACAACATGCACTGGGCAATAACACACGAACTGTGTTATTGCCCAGTGCACGGTCGTAAATTATCGAGGTATTTCTACCGGTGCTGGTTGCACATAAAGCAGTGCCTTGTAAGGTGGAAGATTAAATCGAAGTAACAACGGTTTAGGTCAAAGGCAGAGAATTCGTATCAAAAATATTTTAATTAAAAAGGTTGTTGTAGCTTTAGGTAAGCTTGAGGTGCGGTATGCCGAATAATTTCTTATTTCTAACCTTTGGAACAGTTCTGCGGTCATTTGCAGGTAAAGCTAGAACGCGCCGATGTAGAAACCTATTTACGGCTGTTTTCCACTGCTTCCTTGATTTTGTTCTGCACGCTCTTCAGTCGCAACGCAATTTTTTTCTCTCCCTTGTCAAAAAGGGCCATCAGCAACTCATCCTGCTCCCTAAACAGGTCTTTCACATCTGTCCGTTTTCTATTAAAAAACTTTTTAATATCTTTGTTGCCAAGAACTGGTGTCTTATCCCTTATACATTGCAGGGCACTTTGCACGTTGTCGTACTTAACAAGGTACTTCTGTTGATTCAGCATTTTGATGGAAAGTACGTTTCCGTACTCCTGTGCGTACTTTTCTAGAACAGATGGATCGGAAAAGGCACTTGGCACCCTGTTAAAGATGACTTCATCGGCAACATCATGTACAAAAATGCAGCTCTCGGGGTTATCGCACCGATTACCATCCCGGCAGGCTCTCTTCTTGTAAAACAAAAGCCTACCAACAAATTTTTTCGTTTCATCGTTCAGGTACTGCTGCAGCTCCTCATTAAGCTTTTCATACAGATCAGAGCCTACCTGTTCTGCACACAACTTTTCGATGACCGGCAGCATCTTCTCGTACTGATCTCCGGTTTCGTTTTTTATAAAATTTTTCAGATCCGTAGACAACGGTGTTTCGACATAAGAAGTATTGTCCAGCACGCTCTTTCTTGGTTTATTCGGCTTGACCCGTTTTTTATCCTCGGTCTCGGATGATTTCTCGTCCGTTTTTAACGGATTGTAAAGATTGTACTCCATTCTCAGAGATGGGTACAAAAAATTCGGCGTGAAATATTCAGAACAATTAGTTGAAGCGTTGCACAGGTTTGAGTTGTTGGCTCATGTTTGGGCATGAATTGTGCTGTGCAACGCAGCATTTATTCAAAATGACGGTTGCCGGTGCGTATATGCTACATAGAGCACTAGCACGTATTCAAATAACGGTGAATAGATGGACTTAAGCAGCGTATTCAACTGTAAAAGCGTACTTATGAAGGTTAAAAGGATTAATGAGAGGTCAGAATGTGTTGAGAGACTAAACAAGCAATTGGTATGATCATTTTGGGAAATAACCATTAACGGTATTTGACGAACAAGATGTCGTTTTGATACGGATTCTTGATAACAATGTCTTTTTTGTTTCACAGGCTTTAATATGCATTAAAATAGCGAGGAACCATATTCACATTGTTGTCGTACATATCTATGCTTTCTCCGATGAATTTATGGTATTAATACATTTTTTATGATAATTTAACACTGCATGTCTGACGAGCTGCAACGAATATCCGATGAAATACAACCGTACGTGTTTATATTTTGACAAATTATGCGGTAACAAACAATTCAGAGGTTTTAACTCAATTCTACCACGGCAGCACAAAACGTGATACAGAGAAAGAAAAGCCTGGCACATTGAGTAAAACGACGGACTGCTGGTGTACATGGCAAAATGAAGTGTGTTTCATATGTTTTTTGTGAGAATGATGATGTTTACGCTCAGAACGATTGTTATACCGGTTAATAGCAGAACAAGGGAAGCTATCTTACGCATTTTTACAGTCGAAAAATACTTCGGGCTGTGCGCGTCGCTAAAGCAGTGGAGTGAAGTATTCAGTGGCACAAAACACCGATTTTCGCGACTGAATCGGAATTGAACACAAAGAAAGTATTTCACGCATTTCATGATCATGAATGCAAAGGCTCGCAACGAATCAAACCTTTGGAATTCGTTTTGTGGGCAAACCTGGTTGCTTGGCTGTGTAAAACCACAAATATAAAAAGAAG